GAAGGGACGGAACCGGTAAAACGTTGGATGCACATTGCCCGCGGTGGAAAGTGATTCTAGTGTAAAGGCCCGTTCACATTCTTGCAACCGAGTACGACCGAGAGAGACAAGACCGGTTTTTAAGCTTCTTGCGACCTCTTAGGACCGGATGCGCTACAGCGGAGCTGGGTCTAAGAGATCGCAAGAGGCTTAAAAACCGGTGTGGTCTCTCTCGGTCGTACTCGGTTGCAAGAGTGTGAACGGACCTTCACTGTTAAGGCCCGTTCACACTCTTGCGACCGAGTACGACTGAGAGCGACTTCTTAGGACCGGATGCGAGGCAGCGGAGCTGGTCCTAAGAGATCGCAAGAGGCTTAAAAACCGGTCTGGTCTCTCTCGGTCGTACTCGGTTGCAAGAGTGTGAACGGGCCTTTAAGGCCCGTTCACACTCTTGCAACCGAGTACGACCGAGAGAGACCAAACCGGTTTTTAAGCCTCTTGCGATCTCTTAGGACCAGCTCCGCTCAGCGCATCCGGTCCCAAGAAGTCTTTCTCGGTCGTACTCGGTTGCAAGAGTGTGAACGCGCCTTTAGAGTAAACATATAGTTTGCGTGAAAGTTCGCGCAAAAGGAGGGTTGTTCTAAAACGGTCCCTCTCCGTTGTCCGGGGAGGAGTTGCGGCTGGTGATGCTAGGAACACTATTCCTCCCCGCATCTCCTCCAGGGGCGGATCCACAACTCAGTTTTGGGGGGAGGGGGGGGGGGGGTGACGGAAAATTGTAAGGATACTATTCTCCCACTCTTTCGTGTGCACCGGGGGGTCCCCCCATGTCAAACTGCCCTCCGAGAAGGAAGCAGGGGTGAGGGGGGGGGGGGGCGGCCGCCCCCCCCCCCCCCCCCCCTTTTGCCTTTTTTCCCCCGTTGGATCCGCCCCTGATCTCGTACCTTTCGCGCGCAGACAACGGAGAAGATCCGTTTTCGAACGACGCTCTTCCGTGGAGCCTGTCAACTGATAGATCTAAGAACGTTGACTCGATGAAAGGATCGTGTGCCTACGTCTACCAGTTCGCCCGAACATAGCCACTTCTACCGCCCCCTTTTTTTTTAGACCTTTTGGATTCATTCCGTCCGCGAACAGTGTTCGGGGGCAGGAGGACGGAACGAACAAGGCAAAGTCTCCCCAACGAATCGCGTCGGTATGTGGTCGGGTCGTGTGCGACTTGGGGAGCTGCCAACGCACGACAACGGGGAACGAAGTGTCTCACGTTCTCACGTTCGTCATCCCGACACGGCAGCTTCGGCGAAAAAGGAAAAAGAAAAAGGTTTCCTTTAGTCGCACGACTCGGCAGCGAGCGAAAGCTATCGCCCGCGTGAGCCAGATAGAAAGAAGGATCGAAGCACGTGACAGTTCTCTACGGGAACGCGGCAGACGCGGCACTCCGATAGTCTGTTGTCACGTGATTATACTCAGCCGCTCTGAGTGGCTCGCCGGGGCGGTCTGCTTTCGCCGTCTGCAAAGTTACGCTGAAAGGTCGTCGACACTTTTACGTTTTATTTACTTTTTTTTAAGTATATATCACGGATATATATGCGTGCGTTTTGCGGCGACAGTTTACGTTTTGTGCATTTGCGACGCACGGCGCGTCCTTCCTTTATTCTCGGTGTCGTCGTTGCTTTTATTATTGGATCTGTAGCAAAGTTACAATAAATTTTTGTCCTACGATTTTTTTTTTCTTCTTTTTCCTCAGAACATTGAACTTTTGGCGTGATTTCCAGTAATTCCGGTCATTGTCGCTTTCCTGTTATAGGGGCGTTCGGTTTCTGTACCATCACCGCCGGTAGCTCAGGTTCCTCTACCTGTACACTGATGTGACTCTTCCGGTGTCTGTGCAGCATTGTCAGAAATGCGTGCGTGTAGCACTTATTGAACAGACTTCTTTACGCGATTCCTCGTGCTAGGCGAAGCGTTCTGCGGAGCTATGCCCTCTCCCTTGTGTACGCAAATTCTGCGAGGGAGAACGCGAAAGCGCTCCACGCATTCAAAGGCGAGCACGCGTTTTCTACCGAGAATGCATTTCCTTTCGCGTCAAGTCGTTTTACTTGCGTCGTCTGCACCGCGATTTGCGGAACTCGTACCCAGTCGATCGCCGGTTCGTGCAGTTCCAAGAAAAACAGGTCGATTGTGGATCGATTCAATATGTGAGGACCGGTTTTGTTTAGTTTTTTTCTTTCTTATTTCCTTTCCTTTTCGTTAGGACGAGCTTTATTTCGCAATAGGTAGCTGTAAAGTGGCTTCGGGGCGTTGTCAAGGTCACAAAATGACCGTATTTTTTTTCTGTGAAGATGTAACGAATGCAATGTTTCTTTTTTAAAGGGGAGGGGCGGGTATTGAACGTTTGAAAGTGATTTTATCTTCATTCTGTGTCGTCATTGCGTGCGCTGCCCCCCCCCCCCCTTTCCCTCTTTTTTTTCCGTGTTTGTCTGTAATGACGTCGCACCCGTTTTCGCGATTCTACTAACCCGACTTCTTTCCTTTTTGTAATTTCTTTTTATATGACCTTAAACTGTTTCACCTGCTTAACAGAATGAGTAGTAATCAATTTCTGCTTTCGGAAGTCTCTTTCAACTTGACCTTGCCGCTTTTCCTTTACTCTTGACGTTGAGAGATGGAGGTATATTATTTTGCCCATTTCAGTTGACTCATTGTCAGAATATGTCTCAAAAGTTCTCACTTTTGCCTAAACTCGGTGGAGCTGCATCTTTATATATTTTGAGTCTCTCACCTAAGGCTTGGATATGGTTTAGCCTATGTGTACTTTATTAACTCTTTAACATCTTTTTTTTTTTTTTTGCTGCTGGGGTTGATTTTATTAGGACGTGTTACAGATTTACTTGACACATTTTATAGCAAAGCAGTATTGAACGGTATTGAAAACTTTGGGATTATAGTGAGAAAAAGAACAAACACAAAGGTCACTGCTTTTAGCATTTATTTAATTTTTTTCTTCATTACATTAATACATTTCATTTTCTTAAAAACTTTCGAATTTGTATAAATCATATTGTCAAGGGTACAAAATTGATGCTATGTGGGATATTAGCAGGACATATTTCACATTCTGAATTTTGAAACAGGCTTAATGGTCGTGTTACATTAGCTTGCAGTGAACTTTATAGTTGGTTATTGAAGTAATTCTCTTTTTTTTTTTCCCAGCAAGGCTCAATGTCAGCAGTTAAGTCTTTTAACTGCTCTTAATATTGCATTTATGCCTTGCATGGCAAAGCACTCTCTTTAGATATATGGGTACTCCAATAAAATTACCTGCAATTTTCTCAGCACTTTTTTAGACCACGTATTTATTATGAATTTTTTTTTTTACACATTCTTTCTTGCTACTAATCCTTTTTTTTTTTTTAATGCAGTTGGATCACCTTTTTGTCACTAGATTTCCAATTTAACCTTCGTCACTGTGGCAACATGTTTGATTCTAGTCCACTTGCCTGTAGCTATTATGTATCATAACAACAACTAATCGCAAGGGCGAGATGTGTACCCCATGACTGAAAGTCATTTCCTAGTTCAGCTGTTTTCACTAGTGATGGGCCAAACTTTTGCCGAATCGAAAGTTCGGTGCCGAATCTTAGGATTCGGCAAAGACAAACTTTTGCCAACTTTTCTAAAGATTTGGCCAAGATTCGGCAAAAATACATTGTTACCAGGCTCGTTGATATTTCGTTTTTTTTCTGGCGAAAGAAAGGTTTTATGTTTCTTTTTTTTTTACCTTAAATGCAACATATTTACAAAATAAGGTGATATTCTGCAAGATAATTGTATCGGTGTCGTTTTTGTGTGTTTACTGGTGATTTTAGTGACTCCTTGCAGAAGTGGCGTGACAACGAGGTTGGGTAGAAGCGGGTGTGGCGCAGTCACGAATCACGCTACGAGAGTTTCGGTTTTGAGGCATCATCAGCGCAAGCCTGCATGTGTGTGTACATTGCTAAAATGAAGGCAATAACGCTGTGTTCTTGCTTTCTCTGGGAGTCACCGTTTTGTGCGTGAAAACGAATGCAACGGTTGCTGAGCCTTCACCAGAAGAGTCGGCTTTGCATGAAAGAGTGTGTCCCATATTCGCAACATCTCGTTTTTAACCTTTAAAATTCCGGTTTCTGGCGTCAGGACACACAAACGTTTCGGAAGATAGGGAGAGTGAATGTCGGATGTGCAACGTCGAGCATTAAGCGCCGTTCACACTCTTGCGACCGAGTAAGACCGAGAGAGACCAGGCCAGTTTTTAAGCCTTTTTGCGACTTCTTAGGACTGGGTGCTATGCAGCAGAGCTGGTCCTAAGAGATTGCAAGAGGTTTAAAAACCGCTCTGGTCTCTCTCGGTCTTACTGGATTGCAAGAGTGTGAACGGGCCTTTATAGTTCTGTGTTCAGTTTTATGCAGATATATGAAAATAGCGAAATAACACTAATTGAAAAAGCAATATTATTTTGTTTTCGCACAAACAATACTTGTGAGCCGAAAACAGAATTATTATAATTGCAAGGAGTGTTTTAAAGTAATTGTCGGCCAATGTTTCAGAATGCACCGCGTCATTTGTCACTTGCGGTGTGGACTGCGTAAATTACTGGTCGATCTTCTATTCTTGCGGCAGAAAATATTGAAGTGAACCACACTCGCTCATAAACGCACAGCTACCGTGTTCCCTACCCCACACCGCGCCGTAACTGCTGGTTGTACTACACTGCACGATGGTAATCGCACGACTGCATGGCGTCCATTTGCAATCCAAGGCTCCGTTGGCTCCGTTGGCTCCGTCGTGTTCTCGCGCGTGTGCAGACATTTGCCGAATCTTTGCCGAACTTCCCTGCAAAAGTTTGGCATTTGCGGAACTTTGCCGAATCTAAAATTCGGCAGATTCGGTCCATCACTAGTTTTCACAGAGGTAGTAGAGGATGGATATTGCGGTATGTCGGGAAGTGTCCTAAGCGAGCGATGCCTCTTTGTATTTTTCAGGCACAGGGCACCCCTGCAGAAAGTAGATGTTCCTTTCGAGGAAAATGCGGCATAGACGAAGACACGGAGAAGGAACGACCGTGCCTATATACAGGGGAGGGACAGCCGATGCAAGAAGAAGGCTTGAGCATCCTTCAAGAGCTGTGTCCTCATTTGATAGAAGGTGAGACACCCGCCAGCATTGGAGAAGCGAGCAGTGCAAACCAGTGTTCCTATATCAAGCCGGCTGTGAAACTCCACTTTGAAGAGAGGGCTGTCTGTGCTCTTGTCCCCCCTCGTCGATGGTTATGATTATTACCATCATCACCATCAACAACTTTTTCTGCTGCTTTGGAAGAGTGGCAGACAGTTTCCAGATGTTTGTGAATGTTTGTGATGGTTCTTTTTAGTTCTCTTGATTTTTTCAATTATTTAGACATCTTTGTGCTGTGCCTTGTAGGTGCAAGGAAAATTTTCAAAATGATCTTGTTCCGTACACAAGATTTAGTTTTTGCTTCCTACAGATCTTTTTGTCGCTCGTCTTAGTTTGAAGGCGGCGAACACGAATTCTCGTTCCATAATTGAAATAAGAGCACCGACTTGACATAACAGAAGAAACAATTTCGTTAGACGTTTCGTCTCCCATGCGGAAAAGAAAAACAGTGGGGTATTCTTTTGACTTTCCGGCCGCGAAGACTTTGGCGAGGGAGGACAGATGGGGGCCCCGAAAGCTCCTAGAATCGTGGTTTGTTCGCAGGGACACATCCGTGTGTAACAAAAACCGCGTCCCTCTCCACGAAGCTTATACGGACATTCGTGATAAATAGCGTTGACTTGAGGTTGAACCTTCCATTTGCTTTGTAACTACTGAAGATGCCTCCCGCATAGGAGGCGAAACGTCTAATGAAATTGTTTTTTCTGTTATGTCAAATCGGTGCTCTTATTTTAATTATGACGTCTCCCGGCTTTTGGAGTATTTTTGAATTCTCGTTTCAAACGTCCGCTTTCGGCAACATTGACCCTTAAAATGTGAGCACTACCGATCTCTTGTGCGAAAAAGCTATGCTTTTTCCAATATGGCCTAGAGAGCGGGGTAGTTGTGCTGAATTTTTTATGTCAACTAGCCGAGGTCAGCGCAGGGTATAGGTTGTACACAAGTGCTGCGTCGCCACTGAACTGGAGCTTGTGTTCATTCAGCGAGAATGCAAGTACCGGCCGAACTCTGATGCCGCACTCGTGCTCAACCTATGCTGCACTCTGGCCTTTGATGGATGACGTAGAATATCCAGTACTGTGACCTCAATATCTGCACTCGGTGTAAGCTACTTAGTGCTACGTCCTCAAGGCTAGCATATCTTCCGCTGCGCTCTAACCCTGTCAAATCTAGTTGTACGAGCACATGCGAACTGAGACAAAGCCACGTGCTTGTGCAGTGACGCGGGGCTGCAGCGGCACTGTGGAAGCAACGCTAGCCTCGATGACACAGCGCAAAACAATTGACGCCAAGTACAGGAGGTGCTGCTTCTTCTCGTTTACTTTCCTCGCCTCTGAAGACCCCTCGCACAACGTCTGTCCTTGCTGGTTTCTCCCACAGGTCAGGCAGAGCCAAAATTCTGCTGTGACTACCCGCAGCTGGTAACGATGAAGGCCGAGCTGGAACAGCCCCTCGGCCTGGGCATGGGCAAGTGTCCCACGTGCTACAGCAACTTTGTCCGCATCTTTTGCGGCTTTTGCGACCCAAACCACGCCGACTACATCGCCATCAACAGGACCGAGCCGAGTGACGAGCAGGAAGGGAAGGAGACGGTCCTGGCCGTGGACTACGCCGTCAGCAAAGAGTGAGTTTGGTTTCTTTTGCTGGTGCGAGAGCCTCCCGGTGTCATTCTTATGAGCGAGGAGTTGTGAGGGAGAAATCTGGTGAAATTTCCCATTGTCCTTTCGATTCAATTGTGTGCAACACAGTTAGTATGCACCCCGCAACACTGTCAGCACGTGTGCGACATTGGCCCCTTTTTCACGTTTTGCTGAGGCCGGGTATTGGCAAGCCTCGAAATTTGCTGCTTAAAAGGAGAGCGCACCCCCCAAAAATTTGTTCTTATTTTTTGCGAGGTGATCCATTATGGTTCAGAAGACTACTTAATATTTTGAAACAGTGTCACATATATTTTTATTACAGACAAAATATGTAACTGCTCAAAACCGAAACTGGACACGGGAGGAAGAAGAAATATACCAAAAGTCACGTGCCTGTGCTACTTTCTTTTTTTCTATCAACGTATTTGCAGTTTTTTTTAGAAGCCACAAAAAATGGTATATTTTTTTGTCCATTGCTAGTATTGAGTGTGTGCCTTCGATGACCCTCGACTTTGATTATCTTTGGTGGTTGTGTCTAAACCAAAGAAAACAGCGCATGACCACGGAAAAGACAGTGAGTGCGATTCAAACTGGCCAGTTCTCAATCGGTGGTTTTCGTGTGGAAAGAAAACAAATTTCGAGCCGCAAATTGTGTTCTGGGTAATTGGGCTCTCATATGTCGTGTAAAAATAAATACATTGGCCAGCATAAATACCCTGTCAGTGTCCCTTTAAGCTGATGCCTCGAACGATAACCTTCCACCGCACATATAGTCCCTGACAGAATGAGAATTGCAGTGTGTCTCTTTGTGATGCCCAGCCTTATGCACATACTTGCTGCCTTCCATTGCTCTGTGGCTGTACATACAGGCTCCAAAGCCCTAGAGATGCCAAAGTGTTATCGAAGGCAGGAAGCTCGTGCCGGACGTGGGACAATTGAAAGATCTCACTGCAGTCCTTATCTTGTTTGTGACTATATAGAAGTTTTCATGAGAGCCTTTCAATTCTAAAAGAGAAAATCAGAAAAAAAGAATGAAAGATTTGCGCTCACCTGTTCGGGCTATGTTGGACTTTGTTCAAGAAAGGTTGCCTGAGTAGACCCGAAGGAATAGCCAGTGATATATTATCTCTTACTCTAGATGAGTACTTCTTTAATAGCCAGTGAGAGAGGGTTCCAGTTCGAAACATACTAGGTAACACTATGTGCTGGTGTAGGAAGCATGCAACATAACTGAGCAGCTTAAGTAATAAAGCTTGAAAAACAGTTTAATTTTTGCAGCCGTATCTAAAGCAAGAACTTGAAAATGGCTGTTTGTTTCTCTAATCCCTTATGCTTGCGTTTAATTTATCATTGATTCAGTGAGCTAAGACTGCCATGTTGTTTTGGTTTTGTTTTTATAGAGATCAACACTATATTAAAACTGCAAGGTATGCCACATACAGTATTGCCTACAGGCTTGCACAAGAATCTTCATGCTTTTGTGGGCCTGTGAGCGATTCTGTATTTTTATACTGTGCAATAAAAATGTATTATTATTATAGTATGATTATGGAGGTTGCAAAGTCTGCCTCATTCTTGCTGCTGTATGAATTAGATCATGTCATTTTATATAGGGCAGGTATACTACATCCCTTCTAAGGTGAGCATTTCTGACAGTTTCACAGAGCGATGCAGCAGCACAGCCCTGAAACCATGACAAGCTTTGAAGTGTAGTGCTCAGATCAGAGAGGCCCTACTCTAGCTTTATTGCAATATTAGGAGAACCTTATTTTCTATTCTGGTGCATGAATAGTGGAAGCGAGGGAAAGAAACCATTAAATCAACAGCTTCACTGAGCCTCTTTTTTTTGTAGGTTTATATAACACATGTGTAGCATCAAATTATGCACAGCCAGAGTATAGAAACTGGACATAGCATGTATACCATCAGAAAAACAGCTTTTTGCTAGTAATTTATTAATTTCTATTCGACATTACGCAAATATTTCAATGTGAATGATGTAATGTCCATGGGTGAGCATTTAGGAGATCATTTAGCATAGTATAGGTAATGTGTATTTTGGTGTTTGCATAAAATAATTACGAGCGAACTGTCCCCTTCTAACGCTTCCGGATTTAATCGAGGTGCATTGTTGTTCTCTCCTTTAAACGCTTGCAGGTTTGCGCACGGGGCCTTCGACTCGTGTGCCCACGTGCAATCGGTGGTGACGGACAACACGGTGATGCAGTTCATGTGCGGTAGCAAGGGCAAGGACTGCACGGCGGCCGACTGGTTCACCTTCCTGGGAAGCACCTCCGACGAGAACGGCTTTGCTCCGCTCAAGTTCAACTACATCATCACGGGGGAGAGGAGCATTACGGCCAGCGGCGTTTCCCTCAAGCCGTTCAACCCAGGCCACCATCGGTGAGTGGCCCGTCTCGAACGCTTCACCTTTTTGTGAAGCATCAAAACTTGACATCGTGGTAAAGGGAGGAGACTGCCCAAAAGGTATCCTTGGCTTAACATGAGTGAAACATACGGTATATACTGCAGTTGTGAGGCAGAATGTAGTGCAATGTTTCATCTGTGTGCGTGACTTAGAGCACTGCACGGGCCGGAATTTCTAGGCCCGGCCCGACCCGGCCCGGTAGAGACACGGCCCGGGCCCGGCCCGAGCCCGACAGAATTTTAAATTTCTAGGCCCGGCCCGACCCGGCCCGAAAGAGACACGGCCCGGGCCCTGCCCGAGCCCGACAGAATTGTTAATTTCAAGGCCCCGCCGGACCCGGCCCGATGGCTGTAGCCCGAAACAACCCATTTCCAATTGAACCCGTCCTGTTTCGACCCGCTCCCGAAACCAGCTCCCCGTTTGAACCCGTCCTGTTTCGACCCATTCTTTAAACACCCTTCCCATATGAACCCGTCCCGTTTCGACCAGTTCCCTAAACGCCCTTCTCGTTTGAATGTGTCCTGTTTCGACCCATTCCCTAAACGCCCTTCTTATTTGAACCAGTTTCCGAAACACCCTTTGCGTTTGAACGCGTTTCGTTTCAACCTACTTCTATAAGGCCCTGCACATCGCAACCTCATCGCAAAAAGTCTCCATCGTTCTAAGCCTGGTCTGCGCACCTCTTCTGTTTAAGAATATGTTCTGAAGTAGCTTTACATGTCAACGCGTTCTTAAAATATACAACCCTTTCAGGCAAGCTTAAGTTTAATATATTCCTAGTTAACCCCTTAAAACATTTTTTTCAAGATGGTTCCCAAAACATGCAAGCGCGGAACGGACTATGTACACTGCGCGACACTGATACCGCGAACACGACGTTGGCTCTTTTTTCGAATTTTACTTCGAAATGGTTTTAGTAGGTGCCAAAGTATACCGCTTAGGTCTGTGGCCCAGATGAGCACTTCTAAAGACACTAATATTTTTGAAAACAGCGTTTTGATTCTATGAGATAAGCATAAAAACACGACGATCGCTTGTTCGCGCTAATATAGTGTCGTGCTCTGTGCAATAAGGGAGTCTTAGAATAACGTGCTCAAGCACTTTGGGCAAGCTAAAATTAGCATCGCCATAGGTTTTACATCGCAACGCTATTTTTACGCTACCCAAAGCGCTTGCGTACGTTTTTCTAAATCTTCCTAATAGTGAACTAGATAGTTTTGAGAGCGATGAATCAGACAGGTTGAAAAGCATATGACTGGGACTTTATTTTGTTTACAATTTATAACACAACCCTCGCTCACACGGAAAAAGCTTGAAGGCTTTCTAGCTTCAAGATGTCTTTTAGTTATTATTTTTAACGACGCTGTAGTGAATTTGCACTTCGCTTTATTTGTGTTCAATGAACCTAAAAGATTAATGAGCAAACTTCTTGCTATCAACAACAATTTATGATTTACGGCACAAGATTGCCCGGGCCGGCCCGGGCCGGCGCGGCCCGAGAACTTTTTTGTTCAAGCCCGAGCCCGGCCCGGGCCCGAGAAAATACGTGCTACCCGACCCGAGCCCGGCCCGCGGGCCGGGCCGGGCTCGGGCTTTCGGGCTGGCCCGGGCCCGTGCAGTGCTCTAGCGTGACTTGTGAAAGAAATTATAGCCGTTTTTTGCAGGAACACATTGACATTGCTGAAATAAACTGCCGTTAGAAAACTAATGTAATGCCCAACGTTTCTCTTCACTCGGTATGCAGCAGAATGCCTGGAGAGTGCAACTGTAAAAGCAAGATTTCCAAAAAGTTATTTATTTTATGCTAACATTGGGCAATGAAAAATCAAAACAATTTTTTTTCTTCTTTTTTGTCATGACAGAACTTTAGCATTTTTATAAAAGACATTCACAAAGTAAAGAAAAAAGCCCCAAAACAATGCCACAGTTGCATTGTTCATTAAGTTTCAGTTAAAAAAACAACAATGAGTGAGCCTTTTTTTTTGTCCCATCACCAAACTCTTTTCCTAAAGCGAAATTTACGCAAAAAAACGTGTTACGGAGAACTATGTACTCAAACTGGACTTTTTCATCTGAACAGCCAGAGTTCTATTCAGTGCTTCATGTACAATTGTTTCGTAAACATTGAAAAGTGCGATCTGCACTCTTGCTCCTTCACACACGCGACGGACACACCATATCTATGGTCCTTGCTGCCGCGGACACATAAAAATTTGGGAGTTGACGTTCCCCCAGAATATAGGTACCTCCCAAATTTTTTTGTTTTTTTTTGTTTATAACTATTGCAGGCAGCAGTGTTGCCCAAGCAGAGGAGGATTACAACAGGTGTGGTAGGAGGAGGTTTTCAGACATGTCAATATTTAGGCTTTAACAGGCAATGATGGCAAGCAGTTCCACCGTCCAAAGTATTAGAAAAAAAATGTTCTTTTTAAATACTGTAAAATCTTGTGAGGACGCCCACCCAAAATGAAGAGAGAAATTGGGAAAAACATAGGGTGGGCTATCTTTGAGGATGCCACTTCAAAACTTTATAAAAAATTAACGAGAAGCACCGGGGCACCTGCTTCAAACCACGTGACGCGGGAACTGATACCACAGATCGCGGACACGGCAAATTCACGTTTCACGATGCTATAAACAAGCGGGAATTCGCCACAAACTCCTGTGTCACGGGGAAGGATACCGCAGGTTGCGGACGTGGCAGATTTGCGTCTCACGGTGCGAAAGACCCGTGAAAACCCGCAGAGAACTGGCACCTCCCAGGAATGGATACCGCAGATCGCGGACGCAGCAGATTGAAGTCTCATTGTGCAGTAGAGACACGGGAACCCGCTACAATCTTGCCTGTCACGGATCGGAAACCGATATCGCACGCACAGATTGCAGACAAAAATGCGGGAATACACTACAAACTCGCATGTCACGGAAACAAATGCCGCAGATCGTGGGCGCAACAGAATCGCATTTCACGATGACAAGTCGCGTGGGTTACAGCTAGGGTGTGTACTTTCCGGTGTCGTGAGAGAAATCGGCGGATGTTTTTTGGTGTATATTTATTTTCAAAACACCGGTGTGTTTCGGTGGAACGTCTCACGACGAGGCTAAAAACGGTGATTATCGGTGAAAAAAAAGTGATTGATCACAGAGAGAGAGTTCCAATTTTATTCACATAGTTCATATACTTCTTTTCTAGGAAGCAACTATTTCTCACACTTGGTTATTATAGTAGATGCAAGCATACTTTCATGCTTGCATCTACACGCAAGGAACGTGCTGCCGTCATGGCAGCACGTTCCTTGCGGTTCGCAACCCGCAATTATGAAAACGCACGCTCCTGTATGACACGGACGTTGGCAGTGTCTTCCAGGAACCACAGCAACCTCTGAATACATGGCTTGCACCGACATCACTTGGCCAGACACAATCTGGAAAAGGCACGTGAGAGCCTACCCTCCACTGTGTTAATTTTTCCACAAAAGGGGGCCATGGGAGACACAGTAGGGGAAAGGCGTATGAGAGCTTAGCTTCCACTGCGTTCACCAGACGCTCTTGACCCCCAGAAAGGAGGGCGGACTGACGCCACCTGCAAGCCATGTATAAACACTGGAAGAATGCAGGATCCACGAGATAACACGTTTGACGAACCTCTACGGGGAAAGGGTTTCGCTTGGTCGGAAACTAGCAACGACCGGTGTTTTTCGGTTTTAACCAGGGCGAAAATATCCAACCACCGGTGTTTTTCGGTTTTAACCGATTTTATATTTTCGTCACCGACGGACGTTTATAGGTGTTTTTCGGTTAAAACCGGAAAATGCACACCCTAGTTACAGCTAAGAATTATCGCGCGCCCAGATTGCGGACAAAAACATGGGAATCCGCTTCAAACTCGGGAACGGATACCGCAAATCACGAACGCAGCAGATTCACATTTCACGATGCAATATAGTACACGCGGGAACAACTCTTGTGTTACTGGAGCCGATATCACGCACGCAGATCGCAGACAAAAACGCGGGAACCCGATATGAACTCGCTTCTCGGACGTACCGGTACCGCAGATCATACCACAGATTGTTCCGTTGATGCGCAATTCCCATAGGACATCGCTTGACGTCCAGCAAGAATCGAGGGGGGGGGCAATGTTTTGGAATTTTTATGTTGCAGATATTTAGCCAGAAAAACGGGATGGGCAATCTCTCGGGAGGGGGAGTCCTTACAGGATTTTACGGTAGTTTAGTTCTGGCAGAGTATGAGCATATGCAGAGCGTAAGTTTGTCTGATTCTTGCGGGGGGGTTGTACTGACGTTAAAACGCCAAGCTCTGAGTGGCCTTGACAGAATAATAGTGGGTAGACCTCATTGCTGGCTGCCTTAAGGTCTACCCACTATCCCTCCAATCAGAGCCAATCAGAACGCGGCGTTCTGACATCACCGGTGCCTCTGCTGAAGAAGCAAACCAACTTGAACTCCGCAAAACTTTAGAGTGATTTAATCTTTATGATCTATGCGGTGCAGTAAATAGATACGTAATTCCGCTCTCCTCAGATGCTCGGAGCCATTTGGAGCCAGCAAGCAGCGGTGCAGTTGCAGCGACTGCCCGGAGGTTTGCGTGGCCTTGGAGCCACCGCTGCTGCCACCAGACGCGATGCCTTTCACCATTGGTCGCTACGACGGGATGCTGGTGGTTTCCATGCTCCTCTTTGTGCTCCTCAGCGCCGGCGTCCTCGGAGTTTTCTTCCTCAAGAGCAACAGGAGGCGGAGCTCGTTCAGAGGTATGATGCTTGGGAACATTCTCTGGGAGCGTTCGAGGCTATCTGAAGGATTAAAGGAGGGAGCAGAACGCTGCGAATTTTGAGCACTGACATCAATGGTCCCGAGCAAAAGAATGAGAGAGAGAGAGTTAAAGAAAAGCGGAGAAAGAAAGCAAACGAAAGGTTAAGCGTCTTGCTTTTACCGCGACGAGCTGAAGTTGTTAAGTGCTAGTCGACTTTACTTATTTTTATATAATGCTCGAGGCCAGTGTTTTTTTTGTTTTTGCAAAGTAAGCTAGACAAGAGATAGACACAGACCTTATGGTGCGTTTACACTTGCGGTTTCGCTGGCGGATCCGTAACTGTGGCAAGCAAATTTTGGATCCGGGCGACGAAATTGACTTGTCGTCGTCAGAAAATCTGGATATGGGCCCCAGACCAATTCAATCTTGAGCTGATTTCACCCCCTGGCTCCGTAATCCACTCACCGCCGGTGTGGATCTACCTGTAAATTCGCAAGTGTAGACGCATCATTACGGGCAATGTTCTGCTGCTTCCTTGCGTATACAGTACATCCCGCTTATAACGAACTGGGAAATAGCGAAATTATGGATATAGCGAATGGATTTCAATTTCCCGTTACCGTTTGTATACCTGCAATGAGATATGAGCCCGCTTTTAACGAAAAGGCCCGCCATGGATATAGCGATAAAAAGCTGCAAAAACATACTCATATTAAGTGCGAAGAAAGCTATTTACGGTTCAATTCTAGAAAATAACCGCAAAAACAAACCGCTGCGGACCGATAACACAACTGAGGCGACCGCCACGTCTCTTCCGAGCGAGGGAGGACTTCGCGCTGTTCCGTAAGTTGTCTTTTCCGCAGTACATGTGACGTGCACCGTTGTGCACATTGTGCGGGAAATTTCGAGTTTTCGGCCGTTCCCGTCCGCTCCGCGTTTTTTTCTCCTCCTACACGAAAGCCAACGCCTTGCTGCGAAAGTACACGGATTTCGCGAAACCCTACCTGACTGAACCTACCGCTGCCGACAGTGACTGACTTCGACAACGACATGGCGGGCAAGGAACGGAAAGTTCTGCTTCTGCTTGATAACTGTAACGCGCATCACATCAATCCGCTGCTTAACACCGTGGAAGTCCTCTTCCTGCCGCCAAACACCACGGCCAGGCTTCAGCCGATGGACCAGGGCTTTATTGCCAACTTATAGGTCCATTATCGTTGCCGGGTTGTGGAGCGTCTCCTCTAATGAAGCCCTTTCGATAAAGCCCTCGCGAACTCTGACCCCGTCAATGCAAAGCGAAAGTGACGAGAGTGGCGAGGACTTTGCGAAGAAGTCTGTGTCCGCCGAAACGGCTCTCGCGGCGGCGGAGACCTTCTGAGACTACTTCGCTGGTGCCGAGCGGGTCGGACTTGGACAAATCCTTTTCCCGCACTTCGACACGATCGAGCAGGCGATCGTGAAGACGTCCCTCACGTGGTACGTACAGTCGCGAACGACAACTATATTGAAAAGCATTAAAATCGTGTGCTGAAGCAGCTGATTTCTCGCTTTTTTTCTCGAAATCCACATATAGCGAACTGATTTGAAATCCCTTGGCGTTCTTTATAAGCGGGCTGTACTGTATTGAGGTGTCGCCAACAATATGGGCCCATCGGGACCACCTACTGGGACCACTGATGTTATGCCCCATCATTCCGAAGCGGCCGGAGTGCATGGGGCCTTTCCCTCTAGATTATCATACTAACTACATGGAGGCTATAGACCACTCCACTAAGGGCTGTTTGGGCGGCGCCATTTTGTTCGACTGCGGTGCCATCTACATACCATGTGTTGCCTCGTCTAAGTCAACCTCTTCAGAAATATGCATCTCAAATTAAAGTGCCTAAAAAAAAAATTATTGACTGATGTTTTGTTTTATTGGTCAGAATTTGAGGGTGTTTAGGCCTATATTTAGAGCCAACCTATACATGGAAATATACAGCACGTCTGGGCATTTGAACAAGTTTGGTTGGCTAAAAGAGGGAAAGGACTCATGACCAATCCCGGTAGCAGCCGCCAAACTGGCCGCTCTCGACAGATTCGGCAGGGTAAAAGAGGGAAAGGGCAGGCGCCCGACCTCGGCGGCAGATGCCAAAACGGCTGCTTTCAGCATTCGGGCAGTCCCGACGGACCGCACCGCCAGAACTGCCCAAACATAGTGCCTACATTTCCCTCGCTTCTCTCACCCAAGTGGAATGGTCTATTGGTGACTCCAGCGAAATCGATGCCGCGTAGCTCAAGAAAGGAGGTCGTTTCGACTCTGTCGTCTGCTATCGCTGCTTGGTTCTCGTAGGCAGCATAGAAACAAACATAGTTTCCAGTAATTATTTTTATGCCTCCGCCGTGTCATTCCTACGCGTTGACTAGAAGAAGGTTTTTACCGTCGAAAAATCGCTTTTCTTTCATATGTAACACTGATTCTATGCTGTAATGCTAGAAATTCATGGTGGTCCGTGTGCTGAACGACGCAAACAACCTCCTTTCGTCTGCCATTTTGCCTGACCTGTGTGCCCCCCATAGTTCGCTGGAGTCGCGAATATAGTCGCTAACAGAATGAGGACGGAACGGCGCGTTTCTCAAATGCCTGGCCTCCAGCACACGCTCCATACCTTCCGCTGTTTAGGTGCGCACGCATACTCGAGGTGTACAAGACATTGAACCTTTGTCAAAGTTGGGAAGCTTACGCTGGAGGCGGGACACCTGAAGCTTCCCTTTCGTTCTCACCTTGTCAGCGACCATGAGGTGCGCAAGTTCATCTGCTTCTTGCACAGGAGTTGCAGTGACGTCAGAGCACCAAGTTCTGATTGGCTGTGATTCTTCCAATCGAGCCGATCCGAGAGCTCGGCATTCTGTGGCCAACACAGCCCCTGCACAACGAGCAGACGAACTTGCGCTCTGCATAGTGTCTGCCCCGGGAGGTCGGCCGAGAGTAGAGCCACTAGATAAGCTATGCTTAGGAGTATCGGCACTTCCTTCCCCGACTGTTTTGTGGGTGCCGCCATTTTGTTTCCTAGTGCGTAGTGGGTGCAATTGACGATACAGTAGGCTCGCGATAATTCAAACCTTATGTTTCATACTTCTGGTTAATTCAAGCCAATTTCTAGATTGGGATTGTCCCGCTATGTTTTCAACGTATTATTAAGCCGGTCATTTCGAACGGCGTTTTCATGTAATTTGTGCTTATTGATCTTGCGGCCCCGTTGACCGCGCTTCTTACCCAGCATCTGTGTGCTGCAGAGAAGCAATACCCACAGAGCTTGCTTCGGAGGGTGTTACTTCTCAGCGGCGCACCGGTGCTCGGCAAGAAGCGCACTCAATGGGGCTAATAGCCCATATCTAATTTTGTTTTGAGGTGTCTGCTGTCTAAACAGTTCACGATAGACAAAATTTTTTAGGAATTTATGAACTTCTCATACATTTCACCAATGTTTCATGTGTGGAATACCTGCTTATGATTAGTAGGCCTGTATAGAGGAAATCATAAAATATCTATCTGCCTTGAATGTGTTGCCATCCGTACATCCGTAATCTTAATCTTATGTTACATCATGAATTTCTGATAATTCAAACAAAATTTGTGGCTTTCCAGAGTTTGAATTAATAAGAGTCTACTGTAGTTATGATTTGAAAATACAACTTGCTAAGCCTTGCACAGCGCCTAAAAGCTTGAGCAATGCCGTTTTAGCTGACAGCAATAGTTTTATGCAACAAGGTGCCTGATGTTCCGCTGCCCTGAATCATAGCTCATCTAATTGCTCTAGCAGAGAAAACACGATGAACAAGATTGGGAGATTTGTATGGCTTTGCTTTAATTTGGATTGATGATTTGTTTCACCACCAGTCAAGAGGAGTGCAGTAAAAGCTTGAAAGACATGCAAACACACGCGCAGACTAAAAAGCACAAGATCACAACGCAATCTGAGTTCGACTGGATCATGTAGCTTTGGTCGATCTCCCTTCCAGTGAAGCGAAGCGTCGATACGGAGCAAACTACTTGCAATTTTGCAGTTGCGATTTTCATGAAATATGTGTTAAGAAAACAGTCAATAACAGTTGATTATGCAAACATGTCACCCGTGCGGAAAGGACCAAGCACCACTCCTGATTGCAAAAATTTGTTCCCACGAAATATTCCAGAAGGCGGGCATATATGCGAAGCGTCTTTGTCGTATTACTTATCTTTCTTGAAGTATACATTTTTTTATGGCATAACTTAACATGTAAAACCCAGTTAGAATGGACTAGTAATTGCTTTATTATAAGTGGTTTATATGATTTACTGCATTGTGCAAGATTACAGTACCACTTGTCTGCCATTATATTTTATTTCACTTCTAGGGGAATGGCTCACAGGGTGGGCTGACTGCGCATAGTGTAGAAAGGCTTGTATGGGATGCTGTAAGGCAAAGAGAGTTAATGTCACTGAATTTGTTCAAAAGGTAGGTGTGTGAATGGTGTCTTACAGTAGAACTCGTTTACATTAAAGACAGTTATAGAGAAGCATTGTTAATGTATACCTCTAATACTGGTATAGTCATCGAAAGTACCAATGGGAGATTTTTTCTGGAGGAGCTGATATTACTATACAGAGGTCCTACTGTAGTAGACACAATAAGGTTGTGTGTTCAGCAACAGCAATCTGTGTCATTCTTTTTGTTTGGGTTGTGCTCGTGGAATCATTGTTTGGAGGCTTTTGTGTGAAGTGTGGTAAGCTCTTTCTGGTACTAGATTGTGTCTTGTGTGATGTCATAGTGTTCTGTGCTTCTGCTTTTACTTTCAAATGCTTTCGGTATATATTTCGCCTAAGGGGTTGGACAAAATGAATGGCCAACCTTTCGCTTTAGCGTTTACTATATCATAACGATGACATCGTAACATCACCAAAAAAGGCAGCATAGAACTGATGTTTCAAGCGTCACTGTCAGTCATCAATCTAAGAACCACATGTAAAGCGAGATTTCAAGAGACTTTTTAGCTTTTTCCTGTTGAAATTGCTTAGAATTTTGACAGCTTAAATGGACTAGTGCAGTATAGTCAGTCATCTTAATTTTTCGTTATTAGCTTATGGCGTGGAGAGAACAGGGTTGTGATGTAGTGTGATTGAATCGCTGTCGTGTCAATTTGATGGACCTTCTGTGCAATCAATGCTTTTCAAGCAGAAGCTTGATTGTGCCATTATGGCCTCGTCACACTAGCTTAAAGGGGCCCTGCAATCATATTTAAGCGTCTACCTTTTTTGCGGTTTCCACGTCTCTTGGGGTTCGGGCAAGCCAGCGGGCACGGAGAAAGTAACTAAATATCAGTGCGTCATATTTTAACCGGACAACGCGAAAACCTCCTCCACCGACGAGGGCGACCTGCGGTACCGAAAGCACTTACTACTGGTCAGAGCCGCTAAAAGTTTCTTTTTAGTCGATATACAAAACATAAGTGGCGCGAACCGTTTCAATTATTTATAAAAGTAGTTTTTGTTCAGTATTTTAGATCAGAAAAGAAACGAATGCAGTTCATAAAGTACGGAAAAAAGAAATGACCCGTCGACATACCCGCCACCGAGCGGCGGAAAAGGCGGCGCATACTAGAAAGGAGTAGTAGGATCAGGCGCCGACACGGAAAGGTCCCGGATGTACGCGGCGGCGCTGCGGTCATATGGGCAGGAAGATTCGACCGGCTCCGAGCGTTCCGAAGGCCTTCGGCGAGAAGCTTTGTCTTGCGGTTTGGCCGTTTCGCGGTATGGCAGCACAAAGTGGCTCCCATTCTGAACTGATCTTTACCCCGTATTTTCTGTCATTTGTGGCCAATAAAGTGTCATGCCGAATTAGAATTTAATCTCGCAGCAAATGCAATGAGAGCCCCTCTGGCTGCCTGCTGCATACAGCCTATCCAGAGCATGTTTTAGTGGCGCCCTCTCGTGCCGTCGACACGGAGTGCAGCAGCCGTGAGCGCTCGATAAGCTCACTACCCCTCCTCTAGTTCAAGGCCACTCTCAAGCAACCAAGGACGTCATGAGGGAGGTTATTTTTTGCTTGTTTTTGTAATTTTAGTTTGCCTATAACTTTTAAAATAAAGGGAATTTCGAGAAAAGAAAAGTTTCACTAAGTTACTACGTTCAATGCGCTCAGGTTCGGTGCAAATTAAAAACCAGTAAAAAAGTTCCTTGCAGGGCCCCTTTAACAAACGCCAAGCTTTATGTGCCAACAAAGCAAAATAAATATTTTTTTTTTTTTTTTTGTGAAAAGGGGGGGGGGGGGGAGCAATCCAAGCACTTTTTTTGCAGTACTGCTTGTTCACAAATATGTGGTTCTGCGGTGATTCAAAGACGTTTAAGCACAAAGTATGTCGTTAGCAAAATACATTGAACGTATCTGCAATCAGTGTGTCTCACTGAACTCAAAAAGATGTTTTGTTTTTACGGCTTACAGGGGTACCCAAATGTGGTGCCTTTTCATCAGTTACATCAGGTACATCAGTTTTGCTCAATAGATTAAGGAAGTATAAAGAGCCTCTTTCATCCCCTCCAAAAAAGTAATTTCTTTTTCTGCAAAGCACCACATGATGGGTCTGAGGCACCACCAGGGTTCCTACGGGACCTTGAAAACCCTTGAATTTGTAAAATGCTGTTTTCAAGTCCTTGAAAACCCTGGAATTTTGGGAGTGCTTAAAAACCCTAAAATTTCGTTATCGTCACATTTGTTGTGTTTCTACAGTAATAACCACGATTACTATATGTTTTCTTACTTATACTAAAGGATTATATGTTTAGATTTCCGGTGAGCAACTTCTATTTTATAGTATCGCAATTAAGAGACATTTAACGGACATTTGTTTAGCAGCTGGCCACATTGAAGTAGTTTTGGTGTTGCGTGTTTCACCACCTTGTGATTTTGCTTTTATTAATTAAAGAAAAGCTTAAACACTTCTTGAAATAAGTAAACGAGTGAGAGGTAAATTCTGGCGTGTTTTTATCCCGTGAATCTGAATATCACGTTTGTTTTCCCCGAAGATGTAACTATAGATGCGAGAAAACACGAAAAACCTCCGACAGTCGTGATGTCATACTAGGATCTTTGTGCCGCCAAGCTCGTGTTACTCGTGTGGGTAGCGCTGGTGATTGCAAGCTTGCCAGCTATATTCCCCCGCATTTACACCAGTCGTGACGTCTCTTTCAAACCTTCTTGAAAATAGCAAGACTGCGTGTGCATAGCTTCATTGTAGATGCGTAAGGGCGGAGATTGCAAAAACTCCTAATACGACGTCGTGCCCCAGGAAGGAGGGGGGCTTCAGCTGTACTTTGGAAATTGATCTTTGCAGCCTCCGTGCACCAAACAAAAAAAAAAAAAAAAAAAATTATATTTGTGATTTTAGAGGTCAAATGAAGACAATTTAAGTGGTTTTCCTCAAATGCAGAACCGCTTTGGTTTCCCTTTAATTTATTTATTAATTTATTACCTGCAGTGTCCAAAAGGGCGTTAAAGTAGGCGGGGACACATATAAATAATGGTCAGGCGTATAATAACACATAATAGCTTTCAGACGTGTTTCCTCGATTGTCAGACTCTTATGTGCTGCGTTTCTATAGCAGGCATGCAGGAATGTGTTGTCAGAGGCTCTTTAAGGAGACAAGGCCATAGTTTCGCAGTTTTGCACGACGATTGATACAAAGCGTCTCTCTCTCCCTCTCCCATGTCCCTCTTTGCCCTGCCTTCCTTGTGGGTCCCCGCGTGTCCATCCTCCCACCACTCTCCTCGCTCCCCATCCTAACAGTGTCAGGCTCATCGGAGTCCAGTGTTTCCGACACGAGCGGCAACAACAATGACATTATCAGGATGCCGCTGCACCGGCCAACCAAACCGGCCCGTTCCGTTTTGTTGGCGGCTGTGGATCTTGGCTCCCTTGAGGAGGTGGAGCCCCTCAGGTCAAAGCGCTCAAGTACGTTGTGCTACGTCCCCAGGACGTCGGGCCCGTTGCCTTGCTTGCCCTGCTCGCCACTTCTCTCTCTGTTGCATTGCCCTCTCCTCTTCTCCGTTGCTGCCCCTTTGGTCTCCTGACAGCGTACATGTTTCTGTGTATGTCCCCACGTTCTGTAGATGTTGTGTGGATGTTTGCAGGACATCTCTGCTGCCTGGGGGCCTCTTCCTTTCTGTTGGTAGTAACCTCCCTTGCAGTAAGCTCAGCTAGAAAAAAAAAAACAGATTTTTTTATTTTTTTTTATTTAACCGGCTTGAAATTACGATTTGTTTGAGCCCCATCAAAAATAGCAACTAGCTTAAGTAGCGATCGTAAGGAAGAAAACAGTGAGAAATGGACAAAACAGAGATGGTGATGCATGTTGTTCTTTACTCCCTTTATAGCTGACTTTCAGCTGCATGTCATGCTTAGAAGAACAGTCATGACCGTTTGCAGGTTCAAAAGTTTTGTTTGATGATAGCGAAATGGTTGAAAATATTCTGCCAAGGACGTTTGGAGAGGTTCTTTCCATCGATCTCTGCAGTGAAGTTTGGCCAAGTTTGGTCTCATTTGTGCAGTTCACTTCAGGAAGAGCTTTACTGACCCCCTTGTTTTTTGGCTGCCTCTGCAGACATCCTTAATTTTCGCTTCTTTTTTTTTTTAAACTTTCTGTTGTCCCAGTTTATCTTTTCCGTTTACACTTTCCTTTTTGATTAAAATTTGCTAATGTAACTTTGCCATTTAACAATGTGCCTAATTTTTCTGGCCCCGCCCTAAAATTTCTCATCCTGCGAGCTGCTCGCCTAGTTGCATCTTTGCTTTTAGTGCACTAGGCTCGCTATCCTCCCTCTTTACCAACTCTGCTCATGGGTGCCGTCTTTCTTTGTGTTCTTTTTTGCACACGTAGCCAGTGTTTTGGTGCCTGTGTGTTGTGGTTTTGGCACCGACCTGTGGCGTGCTGTGCCAGTGTGTGTTTCACGAGTGTGCCAACTCTGTGCAGTTGGGTTGTGACGTCTCTGTTCCCGCCCTGAAGCGTTCTCTTTCGCTGCCCTGGCACTGGCCAGACGGGGCCAGGGTTGTTTGAACTTGTGCCACAAATTAATTAGGCCCCGTGTTTGTAATTTGAGGTTTTCCGCATCTGCGAAACCTTTTGGACTCGCTTAACAAAGGTCCGACAAATAGTGGCGGGCACTTTCGCCTGCTGCTCACTATGCGTAGCGCAAGTTCGTCTGCTTCTTGTAAAGGAGTCGCAATGATATTAAAACACCGAGCTCTTATTGACCGATTGAAAAAAATGGTTGGTAGACCTGAATGCATCTAACATTGCGGTCCACCCACTATCCTTTCAATCGGAGCCAATGGGAGCTCGGCATCGTTCTGACGTCACCGCAACCCTAGCACAAGAAGCAGACGACTTTCTCTCCGCATAAAGGTGGTTGCGTTTTGTCCAGCACGACAACACACGGGAAGTCCCAAAGCGGTATCCATTGTAAACTCGGAAGCTTGCCGCAGAATGGAGTTTTCAAACTTTTCTTTATCTCGAGTAGCCCGCACCTGCCCTGAGTGGCAGTTGAGGAACACCTTTCAGCATTGATGCAGTAAAGCAGTACAGAAGCCTACGCAGCTTGTAAATAATAATAATGAACATATTAGGGGGAGTGTTTTGCTCATAGTTATGCATTAGACGCTCAGGTCTTCTAAAATAGGGCTTAAACTGAAAAAGCACATGGGGGACGGGGTCAAGCAGGAAAAGTCATGAACTTGAAGTTTCCATGGGGGCACTCTGAGGAACCCCTAGCTCCGTCGGCACCCTGTTCAGGAACCCAATCGGCAGAAGGAAACGCGCAGCAATCCCATCTGTGGGCACTCTCAACGATTTCGGTTGCGAGGACAGAAAGGGTGACCGTCCAATCTACCGTTCGCTGTAAAGTTTTAACCTACTGTGTGCAACTGCTAATGGGTGTGGTAATGCCTCAACGCCTTCAAAAGACAGAAGGTGACCCCCTTCGAAGGACCTGTTCGTTTTACATTTTGTCTGCCACATGTTTTCTGCGGTTTGGCATGCAATATTGGTGTGATGTGACTCTGTTTGTTTGTTGTCTATTGGTGACGTCTGTGTGTTTTTGTGCATGCCCTAAAACTTGCGTTGCTGCCCTAGCATAGTGACAGAAGCCAATTCTTTTATAACTGTAGAGGTTGTTAAAACAAGTGGCTTCTGTAAGAAATCACCAAACTTGGTGACTTACACTTCTCTATGGTGAGATTGACCTCCATTGGTTGTGCTCCTGTTGCCCTCTTCTACTAAGATTTATTTCTTTGCTTATTTCTAGACATTCGAGACGTTTGTTACTTAACAAGTGGTGGTACAATTTATTGAATGCTTTGAACGAATGCAACTTCTGCATCAGATCTTGCAGGTACATTCCTGTAGGTGACTGTTTTTGGGGTAGTGGTAATAGCATTCAATAATGTAACTTTTTTTTTTTTGCATTTGATTAATTTTTTTTAAAGGCATGCATTACATGCATGCTTTTGCATGAGGGTGAAAGCAAGAAATTTTGAAAAGTAGTGAAAATATACATGATCTATAATTGCATATACATTCATCTAAACAAATATATAACTGGTAATCAATGTTGTGATATATGGTATATTAGTGTTGGGAAGTATTTCAAATACACTGTACTTAAAGTACTACTTCAAGTAGTTTTAGGAAAAATTTACTTTACTTGAAGTGCATTTTCTGGGTATGTGCTTGTACTTTACCTAAAGTATTTTTCGTCGAGTACTTTCCAAGTGAAGTACCACTCCTAACTTCCAAGTTCATCCCCAAAATTTGGTCTTGTTAAACTTGTATCACAAAATGATGCTTAACTTTGTTAACTCTGAAATAATACTGGGAGGATGGTCTACTGTCACCAGAAATGCGAGCAGATGACACATCGCTCCGTTCGTACTGGGATCGGCTTTTCTGCTGCATTTTAAACTCCCGCTATTTCTCGATCGGTCAGTGCAAGCGAGAAGGTTAAAAATATTAAGAGAGGACTCTCGTTCACCTGAGAATTGATTGCTTAAGCTATGAATATGACATCACGCCCTCTTTTAGTAAACCCCTTGGGTGCAAGTCTGTGTAAGTGGCGCCAAATTCAGAAGTCTGAGGGACTTCTGGATTTAGTTCCATTTCCGAAAATAATTACTCTGTGACCAGTTGACTTTATCCAGTATTTGCCACCATTTCCGAAAAAAACTCCTGCACCCCTGATCACCCCCGAGACAATGCATACCCATAAATAAAAGCATTATAGGGGAATGAAAGGGCATCATGAACGATTATGTTAAAAAGTACTTGTACTTTGCTTTGAAAGTATGTTGGATTTAGAGTGCTTCAAGCATGTTGTGCCAGGTGTACTTACTACTTGAAGTACATCACCTCTCATTTACTTTGCACCTTTCTTCAAGTATATTTTAGGTGTACTTTACCCAACACTGAGTATATATACATATATACAACATTATTAACAAGTGAACTGTCAATACTAGAAGTATATCGACATGAAATATTATAAAATATGAAACTCAAGGTAAATACCTAGATCTATTTTTCACTACTGAAAAAGTGACAACATTTTCAGGGAGACTACGCTAGTAATTTTTGTTTCAAAATCTTGCTTGCTGCGAAGCATAGTGGTGAGTTCAGCAGCATTCTTCGCAGATGATCAGCATCTCTTGCGAACAACAAGATACCCACCCGTTCAGGGGGCTAAACTTCTGCTACAGAAAAGTTTCTCAGCATTCTTTATTGTACCTGACACTCAAAATTTGCTTGACTGCTATCTGTGTTACTTGCTTCATTCTGCAAGAGCTAAGCAAGGAACTACTAAGATAGGTGTCTGCTTTGCTTGGCAAATAGCAAAAGAAATAATACAACAGCAATTCGGCCGTGACTAACTCCTGTGCAGCAGCTGCTATACTCATGCTTTTGAATGTGCTTACCATTGAATGCAATGCAAGGTGAATGTCCATAGCACAGTTGTCTTGTGTTGTCCAGCTACCATTGGCCTTCCACTTTTTGCATTTCAAGAACTTTTGCTATAGGTCTTAAACTCACCCCATTCTTTTTCTGCATGAGCTGGATGCATTTGAAATGTTTGTGCAATGAGTTTTTAAGCCTCTGTGAGACCACAAACAACCTTGTCTTGGGAGTATTGAGAGACAGAAGCTAAGAGTAAGCCATTTTGAGAGCCTTTTGAAAAGGATTCATAACTAATGGTAGGATTACTTTGCTGATATGAAGTTCACAGTGGGCAGCAAGTATGGCAATTTTAGTCCTGCTTCTTGGAATATTTCTTTTGTCCTAATGTTTGCAATATATGGAGTGTCACAGTTGGCATAAGTTAGGTCCATATCTGTAAATTTCATAATAAATGTCACAGCTTGCCTTTTTTTTTTAAAAAAAAAGGGGAAGAAAATAAGAGCTAAATCTTTACAGGAACTTGCTATTAGGGAAGCAACTGGGGTTTAACCTCATACAAGCTGTTCTGCAGTGCTATAAGCAGGTTTATTTATTAGTACAGTGACGCTACTTCATTCATCATTCATTTAGCTGCAGTGCTACATGTCAGTTTCGTAAATGTTTCCATGTTTGCTTGACTTTAGGCATGCATCACTTTGTTGCCGTGTGTGTTTGCTGCAATCAAAGCGATTTGTTCCTAACTCTGCGAAGAAGCTTTTTCCTCTGCCTTTTCTGGGCCATGGGTATCGCTTATTAATTTTCCTGCATGCTTGCCTAATGCAACACTCCCCGACTTGAGCCGACCAATGGGGAGCCAAGACCACGCAAGACTAGGTTTCGACGACGCAGTTAGCTACAACGAACAAGCTGTAGTAGCTGCATAACTTCTACAAAGCGAGTTTGAAACTGCTTTGCCAGGTTAGGTAATCGTTCGAGCATAACTCTTTGTTGACAACTTGTTTTTTCTCAGCCGTAACTGTGCCACAAGGTCTGACTGAAGAAATGCTTGCCCAAAATAACTGAAAAGAAAAAAAAAGAAAGTTACCTGAGGTTGAGGAACACAAGTAAGAAACAGACACATTCAGGGGAAATTTAGTGTTTTAGTCTGGCTTTTAATCTCTCTTTCTTTCTTTTTCTTTTTTTTTTTCTTTAGAGGGGGGGGGGGGGGGGGGGGAGATGCCACAGGACATTCAAAATGAATTTTACTTTGTCGGCTGGAGCACAGAGCACTCGGAGGGGGAGTATTGTGTGCCCTGACTTTTGGTATTCTCAGGGAAAGGTTTTCCCTTTGTCGGCAAAAATGCACGGAACCTGAAGAGTGCAGTGCATGTTTGTCAACAAAAGGAAAGAGAGCTTGTGCGCCTGTTCGGGGAATTAGTCGCCTGCTCGTTTTTAGCGGATGGCTGAGATGGATGCATGCGTGTGTGCACGAAATGCAGCTTGTGCAGTAGGACAGTTGAGAAGTAGTATTTTGGTTTCTCTTTGTGAGCTCACTTTGAAGTAAATTCCACCCTTGCACCAGAAATTTGTTGGGCCAGTGGCATTCTTGCAATCCCTCTTTTTCCTTTCTCGTGGTCTCCAAGAAAAAAAGGTTGAGGAATTGGAGCATTGCCCGGTGTAGATTCAACAGAATTTAAATGACCCTACCATTCCATGAATAAATTCACACAAATAAAAAGAAATAGGTCTGTCAAAAAGTTAGAAGGAAGGACTCGATAGAATGTACCCTTCTCACGGCAACGTCAGTTTTACCGAAATGGTTTTCATTACATCAGTATCTTCACAGTAGCCAGGCAAAACATCATGGTTGTTTTGGTACGCAGGAGAAATTAACTTAACAATTAAACATCTGTGCCTGTATCACTAATATACTTCACCTTTGTCTCATTGTATCCATATCCTCTATATATCTGCCTTTACTGTGGAGGGGCTCTATTTTATATCTTGTTTTGCACCACACTTTCAACTAAATTTCAGAATCTCCTTCCTCCCAACCGCTGTATTATTTACACGACCCCACCGTCGGCATTTCTCAGTGTTCACTGTCACAGTCAATCTCGCCAGGGGCGGATTTACGGGTTGGGCTTGGTGGAGGTCACCAAAGAGACCTGACATCACGGACGGATGTCTTGTCACAAACAGACGTCAATGTCTCGTCACGGACGGATGCCTTGTCACGGGGGAAGCGTTGCCTAGATCCACCATAAAATACTGGGGGAGTGCCTATCCTACTTCCACTGAAAACTGAGTTAATCTAGACATGGGCGCTTGTCTGGTCAAATTGGGCACTTCACGTATAATTAGCGGAATTCCCGAGTTTGGGAAATGTTAATAGTGGGCACTTGTACAAAGTGGGCACCTCTGCGGTATTTTACGGTATATTGTAAATTTTTTCCTAATTGAAGCTGTTGTATGTCTATTATTCCGTATAAAAAGATGCCCTTGGGTTGTGGGGAGGGGGGTCACATCGCGTCGCTTCACCTCTGTTCCCCAACTTAAATTTCCCCTTTATCTTGCTCGGCGTTTCATCTTTCGCCGTCTAAACCAGGGTCGCAGACTCGTGGATTCCTCTTGACATAACCACCGCTTTGCAGTCAGCTCCAACGGCTTCACCAACGCCTCGGCCGTGGACTCCCCGACACCATCTCCTCCCGGCTCTCCTATCTCGCTCCGGCCGCCGCCGCTGTCCGGAGACGCGGTCAACAACGGCAGCGTCGCCAACGGCAACGCCAACGGCAGCGCGGTGAAGCCCCCCGCGGAGGAGCCGCACGTCCGCACGCTCTCGTCGTTCGGGGCCACCATGGAACAACTGCTGCAGGCCGGCTTCCACCGCTGGGGCCTCTTTGTTGCCCGCAACCCCCTCCTGGTGCTCATCGCCGCGCTGGCTGTGAGCGTCCTCCTGTCTCTGGGTCTGCTCAAGTTTACTGTGACTACGAACCCCGTGGACCTGTGGGTGTCACATAGCAGTCTGGCCAGGAAACACATGAACTACTTCAACAGTCACTTTGGGTGAGCCTCTGCTTTGCCTTTCTTTTTTGACGTGGAATATGTTTATGGGCCCGATTTCGTGTGAAAAAGTTATGTGCGGGCCGAGGTAGCTTAAAGTTAACTTGGCCCATAGCAGATAATGCTTATGTTTATGTTTATTTATTGATGCCTGCCAAGAGCAACGTGCCTTCCCAGTGGTGCATCGCAACACAGACAAAAAAGAAATGCACACGTGCACATCAAACGCTTTAACATTATACACACAAAAATGCCAGACAAAGTAAAAAAAAGACTTAATATTGCATATTTTATATAGTTCTGACAGTGCTGAGTTTTTAAAATAGCTTGAAGGCATACACATGTCCATGGAAGGTGACGAAACACCATTAAACGAAGCTTACATTCGGGTGACGGGCGAGAGCTGGGAGTGCCCGTCGACATAAAACAATTCCATTGACCTCAAAGAGCAAGCTGCCATAGGCTTAAGGGGCAGCACTGCTTCTAGAGTTCTTTTTTTTTTACATAACTTCTTATTCAGTTCAAATCAAATTTACATAGCTTATCTGCTGTTACATCTGACTACAAATACGTACTTGGTCTTGATTTGACCTAGCTTGTTCTGTTGATATTGAAAGTTTAATTTGAAAAGATTATAGGAAGGATTATAGGTGCACTAAAGACGCGTCTGAGATAGTCTGTTCTTGGTGATAACTCATTCTGATAGAAACTTACAAGTCCCAGAAATGAAAAAATTATGCTCGTGCGAAGTTTATTTTCCTACTAAAAATGTGATAGAAGTTTGTGCCATGCCCCTTTCTAAGCGGAAAAACCTGGAGCACAGAATTCAGTGGAGGTGCCGGCAGCATGACGACGAGCGTGCATCACCCAATTGCAGGCAGAGGAGGTGCAGGCAGCGGTGACGCATCTGCTGGATTTTGTGCTCTAGATTTTTCCACGTGGGAAGGGGAGTGCCACAAATTTCAATGAAATTTTTAGTAGGAAAATAGACGTCGCACAAGCATAATGTTTCGATTTCTAGGATGCTTGGAGCCAGCAAGATAAATTATCAGCAAGAACAGACGACCTCAGAAACATTCTTAGTGCTCCTTTAAGACAAATTGAAATATTGAAATAAAAAATAAACATATATCAGTATGCTTAAAGGTCTGCGGAATCCAATGAGGTAAAATTGAAAGTTCTAGAAGGATTTATAGGCTTTTTACGATACTTTTGTATTTTGCAGTTTCAAAATGATTTATTGCAGGATACCTAAGAGGCACCTGAAAAAAAGCCTAATACCATGTTTAATATGTTTTTACTCCTTATTGCATACATCACATCACACATACACCTATGAAAGCAGATGCATAGCTTTTGGTGAATAAACCATTGAATGCTTTTGGTGAATAAACCCCAATCACTGTATGTACAAGTGGAGATATGGCTTCCATAAAATAACAAAATCTGTAAATACTGGTTCACTCAGAAATAATAACAAAAAAATTCCACAGACCCATTTTACCTTGTTTCCAATACACTATATCAAGAGAAGAGAGACTTATTTCACAAAAATGCTTCAGGACAAAATGATAAATGCCTGCCAAGCGTTAAAAAAAATATATATATTTTTGTGTTTTTAAGGGCATTGTTTCCCCTCAAGCATGCAGACCCACACCTAAACGCAAGTAATCGTAACTAATCATAATTAGCAAGATTTACCAAGCGGCACAGCGGGAATCAAACCCTTGACCATGTGACCCGCAACTAGTCACCTTTACTCTGCACCACTTAGAGAAGGCGAACAGGAGCTCAAGCAGCTAGACTAACTAAAGGGAGCCTGTGGCAGTAAGCGACAGTTGGCGCGCGCAGGTGGCTTCCGAATGACAAAGTGTGCTTCTCCAGGTAATCTTGCGATACCATGGGTTTATAAAAATAATCAAGACAAGTTTTTATTTTATGCGTCGGTATAAGAAAGCTCATTTTGACAAAAACCCGGTGGTGCCCTTTGTTTATCAGTGCAGGGGAGATGGGGAGAAGGAGTGGGAGAGGGTGATGCGTGCAGCACTCCCATTGGTCCGAAGTGCTGACGTCAGCATACGTCAACCTCTCCCTCTCTCCCTGGTGCCGACAAACTGACAGACACCGCAAAGTTTTCGTCAAAACAAGCCCCTTTGTTTTCGGCAAAATCAGGCGCGCAGCTGGCGCAAAGCCAGAGAGGAGGAGGCGCCGCACAACACCTCCTAGATAACCAAGCCATGGTGCTGAATGAAGCGTGTACCAACACTTTTGTACAGTTAGTGCTGCAGACGCCGGCACCGCACGCGCGGCGTCTCTCTCCCCATTGACATTACGCAATGCTGTGCGCTCTTCGGCGGCCACCGGCAAAAGATCGCGCCACTGTCCTTATTAGTTGGAGTTCAGACTTCACATGGGTCGTACCCGTGTTGTAAGTTCGGAAGAGGACCAGCAGGAGTACGAGGAGCGTCGGCGCGCCCAAAAGTGAGAATGGGCACGCCGCCAATGTGAAACCAGCAAGAAGGGGCAATGCGCCAATGTGAAACCGCCGTTGCGGCTGCTCCCAGCCCGACATAGCAAATCCCACCATAGCGCCAGCTTCGCCGGACTTCCCTCTTCACGAGGTGGAAGGTCTCTCAATTTTTTTTTTTTACTTTGTTTTGGGTTTTGGGTTGAAGTGTGGAGGTCATTCACCAGTTTGCCTGCATATTTACCCTTTCATAGAAGTGTTTTTTTTTCCTTTTCTGGCCAAGGAGTGACAAACAAACAATGTTGTAATTATCTTCTGTTTTTGGCATCTTGCCAGAAAAATGGAAATTTAAAACATTTATCTTGGTAAATTGCTGTTCTGGTACCTCTACCAGAACAGCAATTGATTGCACCATTGATTTTGGCATTTTTTTCTCTTGTTACAGTCCTTTCTACCGGGTGGAGCAGATAATCCTCCGTCCCAAGAACCAGCAGTTCTTTGTGCTGGAGACGGATGGAGTAAACAGAACATTTGGGCCGGCATTCGAGAAGAATTTCATGATGGAGGTGGGTTATAAGCTTTTGTACCACCTACGTAAAGGTTTCATTAGTGTATTTCTATGTATTTATGATTTGAGATCAGCGGTGTTGTTTACTGTAGATCACCCTGATTCATCATATATGACCAGTCATCTTCATATTTGTAATGAATTATTTGTACATCTATATATGCGACAAATAAATGCTAAAACTGTCACTTGTGATACATTATCAAGTGACACCGTTTTGTTGGAGTCTTTATCTTGTAGGGTTACATTTAAACAAAGTGTTTCTTACCACACCCCGATATATTTACAATGCACATTACATGGGGAGGGGGGTTTGTATTATTATTTCCTGCCACATATCATTTTTACTATATGGAACGTGACTATGGAACCTTTCCAGCGTTTATCACCTAGGCAGGAACTGTCAAGTCACTGGGCTGGCAGTCAGTGTCTGATATTTTACAGAAAAGAGCTAGTGAATGTGCTTAGGACATGTTCCACAGCCCAGAGGACAAAGATAGTAGTGTGCATAAGGCAGTAACTAAAATCGTCTGTACTGTTGTGCCAGTAAGTGCAATGCTGCAAGTCTCAACACTTCTTGTAAAAAAAAAAAGAGAGAATTCTGACATAAAAAAAAGAGAAGCATGTTTCTTTGTTTTAAATCAGATTATTTTGATATAAATACTGTAGCTAGAAATAAAGTTATTATTTATCTTTTGATGCACCTTTAAACAAGTCACATTGATCAATCAATTCGTCAGATTACTTATTGAAAACTGTAAGGGACCACCGCCTCGTCAAGCTTTTTAGTCTTTTGTTTTGGTCCGTCTTTCAAACCCTGTAACAACAAAAAGCAGTTTGATTCTTTTTTTTTTTTTATGTGAAAAAGCTTTAATAGCATTTTTTTTCAATTTTGTTTTGCTTGCTATATGGCATTGCTTTTCTTGTTTCTGTTTCTTTCTTTTGCATTATGGGTTCCTTGTAATAAAACACTACGTAACTGACACAGTGGAAGATAGGAAGGAATGCTCAATGTCCGGATTTTCTCAGAAGAGCACTGCCTTTTGCTCGTGTACATTCTGCCACAGTCAGTCTCGCTTGATGATTATTGGATTTAGACACAAAGCAACTGCAATTAGAAAGTATCAAATGAGAGGGAAACTATAAGTAAAATACTAGATATTTTAGGAATTATTTGTGAGGGAAAGGTTGGATGTAAATCATAAGTGCAAAACTGGTGTGATTTAGAATCGCAATCTACATCATAATTTAAGTTGCAATTTTAATTGCCTCGATTTTTATTCTCCATCCTGCCGTTTTCTTCGTCGAAGTCTTTACTTGGCATCCGTCATCGGTAACATCGTCACTTGTGATCATTAGCGGCAGCGTGTTGCCCCGTAAAGTGTTTTCTCATAGTGCGAGATGACGAAACGGTAAATTGACTGCCGTTTCGTGTCTCCTCGACAGGCCCTGAGGCTGCAGCTGGCAGTGGAAGCAGTGGTGGGCAGGCTGCGTCTCGATGGGACGCCGATCCACGAGTTGGAAGAAGAGGTTTTGGATCCGAAGGACGTGAAGAACGTCACCATTCAGGACGTCTGCCTGTCCCCACTGTCCCCGCTGAACAGGCACTGTTCGGTGCAGAGCATCTTCGCCTACTACCAAGACGACCCGTCCAAGCTCAACCTGACGGACAAGTTGGATCCGCTCTCTTACCTCAAGCACTTCGAACACTGCAGCAAGTAGGCAGACCTTTCCTTGGCACAACTCGTCCCGGTCCGAGTTTGATTTCATGGAATGCTGACCCGTAGTTGGGGAAGGGCACGTCTCCCTTGAAAAAAAGTCACTCTGCTGTGTGTTTGTTCAGCCAGTGGGAAGTTAGTTACCTCAACTTCTTTTAGCGTAACAATGATTAGAAAGTCAAATTCTGTCTGAATTTTATTAAAAATTTGAATTATGCAGGAAATTAGAGGGAAACACCAATGCTAGTAAGTAAATATAAGGGAACTGTGCTTATTTACGCTTATGAGTCCTGTCGGAGAACTGACAATACCTTCTAGTAGTTGCTCACTTCTGAGTTGTAATAAAATTGCAAATGAAGTCCTACGGTTCAGGAGATGACAACGATGGGAGTGGCTATCTAAATCTTTTTGATTCTACGAGTAGAGTATAGCAGTGCTGCCAATTTTCGCTTCTTCATAAGGCCAGCCATGTTTTCTGTTTGAATTTTAAACTATTTACAGTTAACCTAATAATAGACAGTCAACCAGATATTTTGGGTTTGTTTGGAATAGCCAAATGGATTATGGGAGTTTGGATTAACGGCAGTGTACGGTATAGCCAAGAATCAAATCATTATAACACTTCTTTCCTCCTCTTATTTCCCCTCAAGAACTCCGTCTGACGTCAACTGCTTCGCCAAGTATGGAGGACCGATCGATGACATCTCCCTGGTTCTGGGGGGATTCAATGGGAGTGACTTTCACCTGGCCTCTGCTCTGGTAATCACCATACCGGTGAACAACTTCAACGACGTAGAGAAGAAGTACCCTGCCCTCGCCTGGGAGAAAGAGTGAGTTTCCCTCAATTTTGGTCACAAAGCGGCAGGCGGTCACTACATCACAGAGGAAAAGCTTTACTTGTGGGACCGGAAAGTTGTAAACGAATTGCAAAATTTACGTGTTCCATTTCACAACGAACTGCAGAAGGCTATTCGAGTAGTCAAAGCGAGTCCAGTGCCATGTGAGTGTCACGTGACGTTCAGGAGAGGCACGGAGACAGGCGGGGCGCGTAGTCACGTGGTACGTTCGTAGCTCTGGATTGGCCGAGATGTCTCGTAACGTCTGCTGCTGTGTCTACCATAACGTGTAAAGGAGTGCGGCACATAAATCTGCAGTCTATCATGGTTGGTTTGTAAGCATGCATTAAAAATGCCTACCCCGGCACTTGAGTTGGACCGTGTAAGCTGATTTCAGTACAAAGATTGTCTTTAAAGTTGAAACAACTTCCGTTTTGTTGCCGACGATTACAGGTTCGTCAAGCTCATGAAGAACTACAACAACACCGAGGTCATGACTGTTGCCTTCATGGCTGAGGTGAGCGGCGCTCCTCACCTTCTTTTCTGTATTTGTTGTTGCTCGTACGCGTGACTTACTTCGCCCCTTTGCTTGTGTGTCCGTCAGAGATCTATCGAAGACGAACTGGAGCGAGGCAGTCACTCTGACGTCGTGACGGTTGGCATCAGCTACGTCATCATGTTCGCCTACATCGCCATTGCGCTGGGCGACATCAACAGTTGCAGTAGACTTTTGGTGAGGCTGCTTGACTTTTCTTTAGACCGACGAGTTGGGGTGGTGTCTTGACGTGCATTGAAGTCTGTCCCAACTCGAGATTGGAGCCTTTTAATTCTTTTATTTCAGTTTTGAAGTGTCTGCAGTTTCGAGAGTGATGTAGGAAGAACACGGGGTGTAATACTCGCCAAACAATGGTGTTACATATAATTAGGGTTCCGCGTTTTCGGTTTCTATTTTTTCAAAATTCGGCGTACTTTTTTCGGTGTTTATTTGAAAAACGAATTTACGGCTTTTTTCGGCGTATATTTATGCCCACAAAAGTTTATCGGCTTGTTTCGGTGAATATAAAATAAACACCAACCGACACTGGATCAGATGATCCTTCTAGCTCTGATATTTGTGATCACTCAAAGAATAACGGCACCGATACACTGAAAAATAAATAGACACTTTATTTGGCAAATGTGTGCAACTGTAAAAGAAACAAGAAAAAAAAAAAACTCAGAAGTACAAACAAGTCCGATACAAAGCCTATGCCAAAAAAACATGGAACTTCACCTTCTGTGCATCAGGATTATGTGATCTTATTATCGTGCACACACGTGTACTTTAGCTTTTCCAGGTTCTCGATCGTTGATCCGGACTCTTGTTTCCTGTTAATATGACCCTGAGCTTTGAGAATGCCCACTCACTGGTCACTGGCAGGCTGATGAGATGAAGCACTGCCTGAGCCAAAATCGGCCAATCAACCAATTGTGACCGCCAAGAAAGACACGCTGCGACGTTTTGAAGCGCAACACAATATGCAGAGCTTCCACGAAGTCAGTTTTCCTTACAACAAGTTCGAAAACACGCTCGTACATGGCGAAGTCATTACGCATTTCAGACTTCACGTTCCGATCGATGATGCGCGCATTAAACCAAAACGTCGTGATAGCATCCGTGTATCCCATACATTCGGACATGTTTCGATAGACACTGTCTTTCCACTTTTCTTGCCACGGCTCTGCGGTACGACTGGAAGGTCAAAGTGACCTTCTCCGGTTAAAACTGAATTTTAGAAAATGAATTCGACATACTTTTATCGGTTTTTATCGGTTAAAACCGAAAATTACGAACCTAAAAACTGACCTTTTTAGGTTAAAACTGAATTTTTTAAAAATGAATTCGGCGTACTTTTATCGTTTTTTATTGGTTTAAACCGAAAACTCCGAACCCTACATATAATAGAGAAATGCTTCTTAGTGCAGTCTGCTACTTGACAAATTTGACTAATTTAGAAGGTTACTGGGAGGGCAGGAGCAAGTGAAGAGTGTTTTGTAGTTAATCCAGCAGAGAGGAGGCAAGCTGAAAATGTTCTAATGGAAACTAAGTTTTCACTTAATTAAGGGGAAGATGGGGCACTTCTGCATTTGAGAAAAAACACTTCAATTGCGTTCATTTGGCCTTTAGAGTAACAGAAATCACAATTATGTTTCATTGCGACGCGCCGGAGAGCCATCGGAGCAATTTCAAAATAGGTCCGAAGCCCCGCCTCCCCAGCCTTGGGCAGCCACAAGATCCGTCGATGACGTCACATACAGCGACCGTCTTTTACGTTTTCTCGTGTTAAACAATACTTGCGCAGCAAATGGTTTGGATGTTCGGGTTCACGGGGTAAAAATACACTAAAATTCACTTCTAACTCGTTTTTTTTCAAGAACCTCCGTAGCTTCCCTTTAAGGTAAAGTGACACGAAGCTTAAAAAACAAACTACGCCAGTAAGCTGAAGAAAGAAAAACAATTTAAACTACAAAGAGAGGAAGAGTCTTTTTGGTTAGGCTGAGGCTTCACTACAGTAGTATAGGAAGTATTCACTGGCGGCCATAGCTGTGTGCGTGACTGCTGAGCACATGCTGATGGCGAGCTTCCACGGTTCTTTAGCAGCGTGCATCCCACACTATTAGGATTGCCGGTCTTAGCAGCCTATTATTGGAGGCTCGTTCTGAGCACGCACTCTAGACAGTACCCACAAATATGGCACCCAGTGAATACTCCTTATACAGCATGGTTTCTCATGCCTTTTCTATCCCAAGAAATGCCTAGTATCTCTTCTTGAGTTGCTGCCGAAAAACCCTTTCTGGTCTCAGCATTCACACCGTAAAGCACTGTAGATTTTGTAAAAAATAATGTGCATGCTAGGAAATGTTGGCCACACTTTACTCAGGTACATGAACGACCGAGGAAATCGAGGAGCTCGAGAAACCCCCGGGAGTTTCTCGAGAGAACCCCTGGGTTCCTAGGAATCCAATTTGAAAACTTGTGACATACCGAACGCGCACATTGAGCTGAAATGTGCTTGAAACGAAATCAAAGCACTCAAAACATGTCTCATGCACTAGGCATGTTGGGGCTCAGGGTGCTTCTCCTAGTACACTGCAATATGTTCTTAAAAAAGGAAAGACGTTTACAAATTTTTGTAATGCGAGATAGGAGTGCAGCTCTTGAGGTAATAGAATCATGCAGTATATCATGCTAAAGAATTTTAGAAAGAAATATATATACGTATACCACAGTCGAATCTCGTTAATTCAAACTTAAGGGGGACCGGAAATTAGTTTGAATAGAGCAAAGTTTGAATTACCTAAAGTTTCCTCTAGAAACACATAGGATGCGACATACATGTTAGTTTGAATTATCGGCAGGTTTGAATTAGCGAGATTCTACTGTATATACAAATATAGACTTCACATGATTATGTAGGGTCACGTGATCATGTAACCACACGTGATCACGTAGCCTTCTTTCTGCACCCTCTTCCTCTTCCGTGTCCTCCTTTTTCGTCGTACCCTCCTCCTCTGTATCCCCCTCTTCCGTACCCTCCCCGCCTCCTCTGTCTCCTCCCCTCATCCTCCTCCGTACCCGCCCCTCATCTTCCTCCACACCCTCCCCTCCTCTTCCGGTTATGGCAAAGGGGACGCCGATGCCGCAAAACACGGGAATCGGTGCCTAAGAGCTGCGCTCTCAAATTGTGACGGGTATTCACAAATGGGAAAAACAAAAAAAACAAAATTTTTGTATCTAACAAACTGGACGTGAGAGACATGCCTTTGTGTTTGAGACAGGCTCAGTGTGTGGTAACTTTACTGTACTCTGCATCACTTACAAGCTGTTGGAATGTTTCAAGCAGCAGTGTGACGGCGGGCTGAGTCTTAATTCTCGTTTTTGTTTTCTCTCTCTCGCCGCGGTGGATCAGATTGACTCAAAGATTTCCCTGGGCCTGGTTGGAGTGATAATTGTTCTTCTGTCCGTGGTGGCCTCGCTGGGCATCTTCAGCTTCTTTGGCGTTTCTGCCACGCTCATCATTGTTGAAGTGATCCCCTTCCTGGTGCTTGCTGTTGGGGTCGACAACATTTTCATCCTGGTGCAGCAGTTTCAGGTGAGCCAAAAGAAATGCTCCCGTGGTGCTTGTGTTTCCTTTGGAACCTCTCGCTGTTATGACTTGTGGGATTTGCTAGCTACCAACTAACACAGGTACCGATAGAGTAACCAAAGGGTTATCTCAACAGCGGCGGCGATCTCAAAGGAGCCGTCAAACCTAGTAGCCCGCGGTCCCCACATCTCCGCGGCAATATAGACGACGTTTAAGGCTACATTACCGCGGGTCGGTTCGATTAATTACCTCTGTCGGTGCCAATGATCGTCTACCTTGTCTCACTCTCTCGAATATAGCGGAAGAGAAGACGCACATACCCGAGTAAGGACAGAGTCCAAGAGCATTTATTAGAACACTCTTAAAATGAACTACAATGTCCCCTTCCAAAATGCCCCCCGCGCCGGCAAGGTAAGAAAAGGTCCTTACCTGGCCAGACGCGGGGTTCCGGAGAGTCAAGACCGGGGAAGCGTCGGAGAAGTCGCTGACACACGTCCTATCTCTTTCGCGGTCACCCGGACGAGTCCCTTTTCTGAAAGCGGGAAAACAAGAGGCGAAACCTCCTCGCCTGTCAGCAGTGATCCGCATCTGAGCGGGGGAACGGAAATCGGTCCTCCAGAGAGAGAGAGTGAGAGGAGAGCCCCCCCAAGCCAGGCGGCCCTCCGCCTCACGAACAGGTCGGAGCTCACGGCGAAGAAGGCCGAGTGTTTCGACCCGCGGCCGTTATCACAGCCACATTGCTAGTAGTATACCTGCTCTGCATGAACGTGTTCAAGAGACATGTTTCGCTTTTAGTCAGTTTACACATTACTAAAGGTGCAGTATCGAAATGCTCCAAATGCTCGGAACGCTTTTGTTCACGCACCCCCCGGTTGCGAACGCGAAGCCGATTCCCAACGACCTGGCCAAAACATGTTGCAGCTGCCACTGTGACTCTGCTGTGTATCGACGCAGGACTGCACAATTTTTAATGTCTGTGCTGCACAAGCCAAGTTTTTTTAAATTTTAATAGAAGGTGATAAAGGCACCTGCTATTCACTGTGTGGATTCCTAATTCCTTAGCTTTTACCTTCCACAAGGTTTTCTGGGCTTTTTGTTTTCTGTCACCAGTGCCTTGAACCACCCCTGGAAGGTTAGGCTATATTCATGAAATGCTGGAAAGTGCTTAGGGAGGTTTTCCACTCAATCACTCATACAGGAAGGGGAGTTTACAAACGTAAAAATAAACAAAGATGTAAGGGGGAGAGGAAAGACATCTGTATAATCTTTGGGACATCGGATGGCCTACAATAGGCACAAGAGCGATGTTCTGGGAGCCGATTCTAGGTCAGCACGGCTCAATGGAGCCAGCAGGATCCAGCTTTAATGGCCGAGGTTTGGTGTCATGCACACTACTAGCAACTGCTCGTTTTCCTACCAGGTAGTCTCGGAGCCGAGTAGTTCCGAAAGAGGTAGTTGCACCATCAGCCTTTCTTGTCCCTCGACGTTGCTGCAGTCTATTGCAGTTCGATGTGCAAAAGGTCGCAGCGTTGCAGAAAGTCGCGAGACAGTTGGGACAAACTTTGCCTGACCGTGTTTCGTCAATGTCTTCATTCCCAACCAGCGCGATGTCCGTCGCGAGGGAGAGACAACGGTGGAGCAGGTGGGGAGGCTGGTAGGAGAGGTTGCCCCAAGCATGATGCTCTCCAGTGTCTCCATGTCTGCCTGCTTCTTCATCGGTGAGTGATCCGGTCATTGTCACCAGTAGTGCCCTAGGCTGTGTTCCAAAATTTACTGTCGTACTCCAGGGTAAGGGTTTTGTACCTCGGCATTCGAAAATCTACTTGCTTCCAGTGGCGTAGCCAGGAAGTATTTTCAGAATGGGGCTAAAACAATTTGGTAGACATTTAATACTTGCCTGTTACTAAAAAAAAAGAAAAAGCTTTCAACCTTTCCATTCTGGGTGAAGAAGGAAGACCAGCGAAGCTGTACTATGGTGGGAATGAAGTAATGGCTGGCTGCAAATCGGCAAGCCAGAGTGGAAAGGCTGGAAAAGTTGTCGCCATCTATGAGTGACGGCGGGAACTAGACAACTGTCAAGCAGGTTGTCAGGTTGCCGCCGTCGCTCATAGATGGTGGTAGCCGTTCGGAGTGTTCTGTCGACATTAATTTGCTGGCGGACACGATCCTGGGGAAACTGGCTTTTAACAGCTCTGCTGTAAAAAAAGATGATTTTGGGGGGGGGGGGGGGGGGGGGGGGGAGAGGAGGAGAGGGGAGGAGGAGTAGGAGGAGGAGGAGGATGATGATGATGATGATGATGATGATGATGAGGAGGAGGAGGAGGAGGAGGAGGAGGAGGAGGGGAGGAGGTGATTGCCCAAACCAACCCCCTGCATACGCCACTGCTCGTGTCCAGCGATTCTCTATCTGTTGTCACGTGACATAACCCGTTGGGTAACTCGGATTCGTTTGGGTAGGATTTGGAACACAGCCCTAATTTCGCTTGGGTGACAAGAAGCAGCAACTGACGACCAACCCCAAGCATGTGCATGGTGCGTGCTAAGGTATTTTTGACAGGGTTCCGACCTGTCGTTGCTCGTGAAGCGAGGACGAGGGACTGCAAGCTTGCCAAAGATACCTTTGCACGCATCCTGCATGCTAGGGTATGTGGTAGGCCTGAAGTTCGGTCGTTATCTGACGTCGCTGTTTGATGTTCAAGTTGGACTAGGGCTTTAAAGGGTGCAGTAGGCTAATGCGTGGGCACCCTAGTGAACACTGGTGCATTAAAGGGTAACTGCAAAGAAAAAAAACATTTTTTTAAACAGCCTAATTGGGACAAGCATGTCAAAAAACAATTTTTCCGCGAGAAAAAAAATTTTTACATCAATATTTATTGCGTGAGACTGATTTTAGTTTGCGGCTATTTCGCCCGTCTTAAATCGTGCGCCACGAAGTTGGGATTCCGTGACGTTAATCTCAATCAGCTCTCATTGGCTAAGAGTTTGATTGACAGCTGAGATCGTGGTTGTGAAACCTTTGTTATTTGTTGCAATGTCATTTTGAGCAGCATATTTTTATGTTTAAAGAATAACCCATGTGATGAGAGTTATTATTCTCTACAAAGGTTTACAAGACGGGCACTTCCGTTTGGATTCATACCATAACAAACAAAAGCTTCGCCATTCTTTCATGGCCGCCGAAGTCTCTGCTCCCGCCTGTCTCGCCTACCTCGACTAATCGTTTCGGCGAAGTGATCGGTGTTTCGAGCTGACCCAGGTGCTTGAGTGAGACTTCTTGAAGTGAAGTAGTGTGCTGTTTAGCAGCTGTCGCAGGTGTTAGTGATAGGAAACGACGCGGGGTTTTGGCTTTCATAGCGCGGTTCTTTCGTTTTCCTCTTTGCTTGCTTAGCGTGCTTTTTTTTGTGTTTGTTTTGCTTGTTTGCGCGTGCAAATGCTGACTTTTCGGAGATGTCAGATGCGTGATCCCGACAGTGAGCCTTCCAGCAGCCATGTCGCCTTGAAAGGAATGCTATTTGGCTGGAGGGAATCGGGCATTCGCGTAGCAACAAACGTGTCCAGTTACGTTCTCGTCATATCGCTCCGGAGGCCATTGAGATTCGCACCGGGCACACCTAACGTCCACAACTAGACACACAAAATAAAAAAAGCACCATGTTCACTACGTAAAAAATGGTCTGAGTTCATGCATCTGTAGACAGGTACGAAATCTTGCCCAAATTTATTCACACCGCATGACGAGCGCAGCACGTCGCTGTGCCAACGCAGTCCAACAACACGAAGCATAAAAACGGCAGATTTAGGAGAAAAATTCGGAGTCCATTGTTCAATTAAAATGACGTAATTTATTTGAAAACGCCCACAGCTTTTTACTCACGGTATGCGTCCGGAATCTTCCACATTTTGAAACAGAACGAAGGAAGATTTACTTTTAAAAACGCTCGCTGCATCCTCCCGGGCCAGTTTTACTGGATTAGCTGACGACGACGGGACTGGACCCGTTGTACGTCAACCCCACATAACACACATAGCACCACATTACACACACCACGAACGTTTCAGCTCTTTGTCGCATCGCCGTGTTGCACCAAACAGAACAAGATCGCCGAAACCAACCCAGCGCTGTCGTGAACCTTGGCTTGTGGTTGCGCACTCGTGGATTCTGTGACTCCCTTCGCTTTCAAAGCACGCACGACGATTACGAACGATACTTTCCGTTTTCCGGGAACATCACAGGGGCACGTCTCCGGTCACGTCTTCGCTACATGTGCTCGCAAACCGCGTCAAACCAAAACAATACCGCGGCCTGGCGTAGTTGCCAGATCTTGCCGGAAGTCGAGACGCTGCATCGTTCAACTCTGCAACGCAAGGAGAGTGAGGGGCGGTGCGTACTCCTCTTCCGCGGGGGTCGAAAGAGCGGGAGTTTCAAATGTGGAGAGGTTCTGACTCTACTAAATTACGTCCTGTGGCGTAAATATTGATAAAAAAAATCATCTTTTTTCGCGGAACATTTGTTTTGTGACATGCTTGTCCCAATTAGGCTGTTTAAAAAAAATCTTTTTTTTCTTTGCAGTTACCCTTTAACGTCTGGCTTACATTAGTCATTCTTGCGTCAAATGTCGTTTTAGAGTGACTTGCACTGGCGGACAAACCATTTGGCTCTTGCGGCATAAATTTTGAGTAACCTTTGAAACTTCTTGTATTTTAATGTTTTTGTAATCATTTTCATTAGCTTGCAAAGAAATATATCTCTGCCTTTTCGTGATTCTTTTAAAAGGCCTTCTACGACCCCAGGATCAATGTTTTTTTAATTGTCGCAAATGATTGGAAATGATCCCATTGGAATCATCCTAAACATAGGCATGAGGCTCAAAAACTGCACATTCGCAGGGGAAAAAAATTATTTTGAAAACACAATAATTATTTGTGATGGGTCGCAGTGCACCCTTTTGGGAAACACTGCCTTGAGGAACAAATTTTAGCAATTTATTTTGAGTTTGGCTTCTTTCATTCTGGGCCCTCCTTTCAGTTGTTTCTTTTGCTAACTAAAGCTCTATCTGCCCTTACAGGTGCCTTGACAGAAACTCCCGCAGTGCGGATCTTTGCGCTGTACGCCGGTGTCGCCCTGCTCATCAACTTCTTCCTACAAATGACTTGCTTCCTCTCCTTGTTTACTCTGGACACACTTAGGCAGGAGGTGAGTCATTCGCACCAAGCTTACCTACTTGGCTGCGTGCCGCCTTGCCTCGTTTCCTTTAAAAAAAATGCTTCGCCTTTAAAAGTTGAACGCAATAGCTAAATATACCCCCCCCCCCCCGTTCCCAAGCCATCTAAGCGTGTCTGCATGGCCTACTCGGTAGCGTGCTTGGCTTGTAACTGAAGGGCCGTGGGTTCGAATCCCGCCTTTGTCTAAAATTCTTTGATTCTATAAATTACTTTATAAAGAGGAATCATCTGAGACATGCGGTGACTTTTAATTTGGATTACGTGTCATGTTTCAATCACTTTCATTCCACGCGTGACGTCACGGGAGCATTGTGTGTTCTTTGAAATTCTTGCGCAAGGCCAAATGGCTGTGACATAATGACTTTATCAACCAATCAGCTTTTCCCGTCCCACGACACTGACGTTGACGCCGGCTTTTCTGCGACACGAGCTCCATAAAGCTATCGCATTAAAAACGCTAAACATAGAAGAAAAAAAAAATCTTCCACTAGCTGGTTAGGACAGACATGGTTCAGAATGAATATTGGCCAAAAAATAAATATGTATGTTTTTTGCCCAATATTTATGTTACAATACAAATTTTTTCGATTTGCGGGCAAAATTGAAATTGCAGCTCTGTGGGATGATGATGATAGCATTTGCACATGCTGTAATTAGTGTGCTCTCTGGGTTCAGTGGACCTCAGAGCGCACACCTTTAGCATCTTCGATCAACTCGCACCGGAATCGCCCTGAAACCAGCACAGTGCACAGCGCTCCTCGGTCGTGCAGCGCGATGTCGGTGCAACATCGAGGACAAACTGCGCCGCGCCGGTGCACCAGGTGCACCGCGGCGAGCTCTACCTTGCGTCACTTCACGTTTTGTTCGTTTTTTTCTTGCGCAGGCCAGCGCACGGTGCCCGTCTGCTGTCAATTTCTTCTATTCTTTTACTCGCGGATTTGACGGTCCCACAGAAATAAATATCGTGGACGTGATTGTCGATGGGGTCACGAAGCGGGTGACAATTCCACATGTATATGTTGGCCATCCCCATTATTGGTTTAAGAAAACGAAACACCAAATAATAGCCGTACCTCGCTGTCATCGAAACGCCTCGCGCCGCTTTCCACGAAGTTTGTGTTTTCCGGGCGCTCCTTGCCACCACAGCAATCGCCAGTAATCGCGGCGATGGCGAGAAGCTCGTCGTCTTGCCGTCAGAAGACCCGAGGAAATCATCTAGTGCAGCTGCGAGGCGTATTCGTTTTTGCAAGATCGCCATCTCGATAGTCTGCGGCGTCTGCTACTCCCGCCATCTTCTCGATTCCCGCTCCTGGCTGCAATGCCTGATGGGACTGCCCCCCGGCGCACCGCCGATTTTCTTGGTGCGCGTTGGGGCAACGAAAAGCTGCACCGGGAGGGTGCGCTTCGTTGATCGAGGACGTCCGGTGCGCACCGGTGCACTTGATCGAAGATGAAGGGGCGCACCTCAGTGCCCCGGTGCGCACCGGTGCGGATGATCGACGATGCTATTTGACACCACAAACGCTATCATCATCATCGTACAAGGGTTCAGTTTTGGTTTCTCCCGCAGATCTAAAAATTTGTGTTGTAACACAAATAAGAAGAGAAAAAAAAAATTTTTTTTGACAATTGTTTAAATTAATACATGCCTGCCCTAATTAGGTAAAAAAAACTTTCCTTTTTCTAGGTTCAATGTTTCTTTAAGGGGAGACATGGGTCTTTGAAGCCAAAAACGTCCTAAAACTGCATTCTTTTGAAAACGGCGATGGCTGTTGTTCTTCTGAATCTACCAGGCTTCTAATTTCGTGGATGAATATTTGAGCTATAAATCAATTTATAATGTCTATGCGGGCTGAATGTGCATTAAAGTTGACTCTAAAACATTGTTTTCACATAACACAATTTTTGGACTCGTTGAAAATTTGCAGAAAGGATATCTCAGCATCTAAAGCAGTCAGAAATATAACCTTTCTTGAAATGTGTTGCTAAATGTGTGAAGCATACAATGTTGAGAGCAGATTTTTTAATATAAGTCTAGAAATTTTTTTATTTGATCTTCTGTTTTATTACTTGTTAGCCATGCATTGAGCACTGAACTTCAATATGTCGTGAAATCACTAATAATTGGTTTATCTTAAAAGTACTTCCAACATTGTATTCTTTACACTTCGTAGTATCTGGCCATGTGTTAAAGAGGATATCTTGTTGAGCAGTTTTTTCCATATCATTCCTCCAAACAAAGGCAGGCAAGTTTTAATTATCTTCAGGAAAACTCTACTGACTGAGGAAATTACCAGATATATGAAATCAGTACAAAAAACTGAACAAGCGTGTGCAGTTTCATTGAGTTTGGTCATAAAATAAGAAAAAAAGCTCCAAGACCAGTGTTCCCCCTTAAAAGAATCGCTGAAGTCTTTCTCGAAATTCTGTCTTGCGATTCTAAAACAACACTAATCAAGTTCTAGTACAGACAGTTGATTTCTTGCCGCTGTCCCTTCTTTCCTTCGATAAAAGACGCCAAAGTGATTTTTAAAGCTCTGTTTTACAATCTTAACTTGATGCTAGTCAAGTTCTAATACCAATAGTTGGTCGCTTGCTACCGTAGGATTTCCCTTGCTGCTACCAGCCTCGGAGCGCGGCACAACTCACTCATTCAACAACACATGCTTGTTTATTGACTCTTCACGTTGCGCGCCTTGAACCAGGAAAAAGCCACGCGCACATACCTCTGTGCCTGCCTTTTATCAGCGGCGGAGTGCCACCCACGTGGCCGACTACGCTTCCCCACTTCATGGTAGAAATCACGAAAGACGGTTTATTGTGCGAGCAACTTGGTCAAATGTCGTGGATCATTCGGTTGCCCATACTTGACAGCTCTATTGTTGGGCATCCATACCAATGGCTCTTTTGGACATGGTGCTCTTATTACATGAAAACGTGCAAGTGGCTTTTTTTCCTTCTCTTTGTCTCCAGTTAGAAGACAGCTTTGAGACCCCGCTCTTTTCTTTTCTTAAATAGCCAAGTTATGTCGAAACTGTGCGCGACGTCTAGACACATGCTTTTTGCACGCAGGACGGCCGTCTAGATCTGTGCTTCTGCATCCGTGCTTCAAAGAAGAGCCGTCCGTCCCAAAACACCAGTCTGCTGTACAAGTTCTTCAAGAAAGTCTACGCACCCTTCTTGCTGAACAACTCCGTGCGTGTGGTGGTGGTGAGTAGTGTGCTTTGTTGTTTTGTGCTGTTCAGTCGCCCAACTAGGCATTCAGAATCCCGAGTTTTAGGTTTATGGAGGTAGTTATCTGGGCTCTATCCTTCAATTGGGAAGAAGTGCCGGTTATAAGTATGGCACTACATTTTGGAGGTTGTTTATTAAGGCGAAAGCCTTACTTGTCCTATTGCACGAAAAAGCAGCGGCGGCGTGCCTGAAAGATGGCCATAAAAATATATCATCAAGCATCCACCGCTCAACCGTATGCTGAAGGAGGACACCGTGCTTGAGTTTTTCCTAGATGTCCTAGAGGTTGTCCTTGCGGTCGTCTTAGACGTTGTCCTCTAGGCGGCGTCCTAGACATCGTCCTTGAGGTCATCCAAGAGGTCATCCTAGGCATCGTTCTCGACGTTGTTCTAGATGTCATCCTCTAAGGGTCATTTTCAATGTCGTCCTCGAGGTCTTTCTAGAAGTCGTCCTAGACGTCGTCCTATAGGTCGTCCTAGACGCCATACTTGGCGTCGATCTCTAGGACGTCATACTAAACTTTAATGCGTCTAGAACAGTACTCGAAAACATTTCTCTTGTGGGACTATAATGCTTTCGCCTTCCTACATGTAAGCAGTCTTAAGTGTACTCCTCTGATTTTTTGTTTTTCATAGTTTTGAGGTTTGTTACATTTCAGTTTTCTACTTCAGACATAACCTCGAATATTTTGATGATGTTTTACCTGGATTATGAAGTTTTGCTAAACCTGGAACACCAAAACTCGGTAGTGTAAGGAGATGACTGTGTTCAATAAGGCTCTCCCGTAGCTCCTAAAATGATTGTCATCAATCTCGGATTTGGTGAAGGATCATTCTGGAGAAGAATACCAGGCTCTTTTCCTTACATTAAGGGCACAAGGTAAGGTAAAATTGAAGAAAAAATCGATTTTAGTTTTTTTCGCAATTTGAAAAGTTTAGTTCTTTCTGCACATTTTCCATTGTCTCAGTGTTTTTAGAAAGCTATATTTCGGGCTGAAAATCACTTCTTCCGAAAGCAAGTAGCAGGTGACCACGCCTCCTTTTGGGATACACTCCCTGTTTATCGATGAATTCTCCAACAAAACAAAATCAACACAAGACCTAAAAGCTTGTCCAGTAACAGATAATCCCAAAAAATTATTTCGCAACTATTGCATAGCTTTTTTTCAACCAAGAAAATCACGAGACACTGTGCACGTTTTTCCCAGGTGTGTACCGTGTGTACATTCAAGCGTTTGTGTTTTCGTAACGACAAAATGGCGCCATTGAATGCTGTTCCTTTATTCTATGGTGGCAGCATTGCACAATCTAATGTTTTGAAGTTTTGTGGATGGAACCCTGTATGGAAAGCCATCAAGTGGCTGAGGGAAGTTGACGTCACTCTAATATACCTTACGGACCAAGCGACATGGCAGGTCACAAAAGAGGCCCGGCAAGCAAGGAGATAAGCCTAAAGGCGAAGACATGACTTTAGCAATGCCTTTCAAGCTGGCGGCTATTGAAAAAATGACTCTGAGGCTGTTGGTGCCAATAGAAATTCGTTATTCATCAGTTTTTTTACTTTAAACTCAATTATCTCAAAACAGTGTTTTTTAGTACATAGGTACCATTTTTTCCTTAACCTGACATTATACAGGGTTGATTTTTTATTCCTACCACATACATGGGTGTCTAAAAATACTGAACTAAAATTAAAAATGTGCACCTAGCAGTTTTTGAGTTATGAAGTTTTTAATAGATGAAAACAACTAAAATTTCAGTACTAGAATAAAAAAAAAATATAAAAAAGCTTATTTTAGATTCGTTCAAATAATTCTAGTTCAGTGGATAAAACACAATATTTCGAACAAAATGATATTTACATGACAGGAATACTCCTAATAGTCACCGAGAAAAATGTTCCTCAACATGGCCTCAAATACATGGGGAGTATAGGACTTACCCTGTGCCCTTAAGATTAAACCCCGAAAGCATGGCATTTCTTTTGTCTTGTTTTTGACATAAGATAAAACCTAGCCTTTTAGCCACATTTGACGACCACTTAGTCAAATCTTTCCATTTTGTACCTATGCTTCCTAAGACATTTGCTTGTTAACACACTAGGAAACAAGCATTCCCACAAGGACTTCTTTTTTTTTTTTTTTTTTTCTTAAATAAAATATTGATTGGTTGCATCTGCTGTGTTGCTGTGCTTGTGTAACGAAAACTGAAGGGCACCCGTAGTTCGTTTCAGCTTAGGTTCAGACACAGCCGACGCTACGAGCTAATGGTGCCAATCAAGCAGCGTCAAAAGCGTAGGTCACTGGGTCTTCTCTGTTTACGATTGGTTCAGCTACGATAAAGCACGCACGGAAACACTACAAACACCACGATGGTGCGCTTTCGACACTGTTTGCTTGGTGCCGCCAGCCCGTAGCGTCAGTTGCGCCTTGACTTGAAGGTCAAACGAAGTGTAGTTTAGAGAAGAATGTTGTAACTTGTGGCTCGCGCACCGTTCACATTGCAGATGATCACGTTCATTGGCTGGCTCTGTTCGTCCCTCGCCGTCATCGGAAAAATTGAAGTTGGGCTGGATCAGGAGCTGGCCATGCCTAAGGTATTGTCCAGCTTGCTTGCGCACAAAGTTCGCGAGAAAAAATGGTAAGGCTGGCTCACACACTTGCGACTGCTTACAACCATGTGCCCTAGAACCTCTTACGACCACGTGTCCTAGAATCTCTTGCGACAAAATTATGTACTAGCACCATCTATCGGGCAGTTGTGAAACACGTGTCATTTCCGTATGTTCCCCATTTTCGCTTCGTGCATTATTCTTTCTTTTGGGGGGAGGGGGGGGGGGGGGGGGGGGCTGTCTGGCTGGCTTGAAAAACTTTTGACTATGTTATATGAACTATTGTGTCTACACATAGCATGTACATTTGACCTCGCAAATACCACTAAACCTTCACTCTAGTGAAATGCAGTTCCGGGGTCGCCTTGTGGATGGCGTCACCGTGCCACAGTCTCCTCTCGTCGTAAGAGGTTGCGAGAAATCGGTCGTAGAGGCCTATCACGTTTCACCATGCCCGACCGAGAAGAAACCGGCTTTTAGGCCTCTTGTGAACGGCTTACGACCCGGCTGCGTTGCCGCGCAGCCGGTCGTAAGCTGTCGCGAGAGGCTTGGAGATTGGTCTTGTCTCAGTCGGTTGTGGTCAGGCGCAAGTGCGTGAAAGGGCCTTAAAGGGAAGCTGGAGCAGTTCTGTATTTGAGGAAAAAAACACTTAGATTGTCTTCATTTGGCCTCCAGGATCACGACTCTCGAGATTATTTTTCAATTTAGTGCACGGAGGCTGCAAAAAATCATTTTCAAAGTACCGCTGAAGCCCTTTCTTCCTGGACTGCTACGTCATAAAAGGAATTTCTAGAATTTCTGCTCTCGCGCATCTACATCGCCTATCAAAGCTATGCATGCGCACTCTTGCTATGTTTAGAAAGGTCAGAAAAAGACGTTGCGTCTGGTGTCGGTGTGCGGGAATATACCTGGCAAGCTTGCAATTGCATGCGCTGCCCACACGAGCGACATGCACTTGGCGGCCGAAACATCCTAGTGTGACGTAACAACTGGTCAGAGGTTTTTCGTGTTTTTTTGCGTTTAGTTACATTCTGGGGAAAAACTAATGTCATGTTCAGATTCACAGGATAAAAATATTCTAGAATTCACCTCTAACTTTTTTTTTTCTCAAGAACCTCTTCAGCTTTCCTTTAAGTAAGTGCAAGTGTGCAAACGGGCCTTTATGGTTATGCGTGGGTTTGAACTGCCTAACAAAATGACACCTGCCTAGTCTAGTATTTAAAAGCGAAGAACATTGACCCCTTTTGCTTACACATTGAGTGCACCTTTATTATCAAAAAAGGGTTTGTAATTTTCTGGGATGAGTTTTCTTGTAGAAAGGATTACCTAAATCTCCCGCGAACAGGAGTCTAATTTTTTGTTACTATTTTGGGAAAACTGGACTTTCTAAAAAACGTTGCTAAAGGTACCTTCTCTTCACTTATGTTTTTTTGTTTTTTTTACTTCCTAAGGAGATTAGTCTTTTGGTCTGATTGAGCCCCAAAAGTTAATCTGGATACTAACACCTACTAATATAGGAGACAATATTTCATTATGTTAGGAGTTAACTACCATAGCATTTCTTATTCCTGTAGTCTGCCTTTAGCTTCAAGTCAGGGTGATGATGCATCTCACGAAGGGGATTTTAACGGTCTTGCAGGATTCCTACCTTCAGCGGTACTTTGACTACCTCAAGAAGTACCTCCAAGTAGGACCGCCGGTGTACTTCATGGTCACGGAGGGCTATGACTACTCCAAGGTTGAGAACCAGGCAAAACTCTGCATCCAGGAGCAAGTGTGTGATCAGGACTCTGTGGGTGCTAAGTTGAAGCAGCTCACACTGCTCAGCAACAGGTCAGTATATGATTTCAACTTTAGCTTTTATCTTATTTATGTAATAAGCACCGAAATAATGCGCTACTCTATTTAGTATTTTAGTGATCTGGTACACTGCTTACTTCGTTAGGTGAATGTGCCTCTAGCTTTATGTGAAGTTACATTCAACTCTTAACCCTCAGTAAACTTCTGTTTCATGTTAGACATGATTTAGTACACTGTTGCTATACTGGCCATACATTCTTGTCTTTCTCGTTAACAAAGATTTAAAGGGTCTCGGCTATTTTATTGCAAGAAAGCCAAAAGGGATGGGGAGATTTCGACAGCTTTCAGAAGTGTCTGTTCGTTTCTTAAGCGGCCGAACGTTAGATTGGCCAACGCAGTAAGCGAAGGCACCGAAGTTTGCTGTTCATTTTACAGCATTGTGGCACATGTGCCAGGAGGCACAGCTGATCTTTGTTTGGGTTCTTCTAGGACTTACGTGACGAGGTTACGGTCTTACTGGTTGGACCAGTACATCCTTTACATGCGGTCGTCCGGCTGTTGCTACGAGGGCCAGAACAGCTCAGACTTCTGCTATTCGCAGTATGGTGATGGTGAGCGTGCATTGCTCCTTGGTCTTTGGTGACTGACGTTCTCTTCATGAATTTGATCCGAATTTAGTGTGTTCTTGGAACACTAAAAACCCAAAAACCTTTGAACATGAAGTCACTATTCCTAAAACAAATGTTTGCTTTCCAGTAAAAAAAAAAAAAAAAATATCACTAACATACAAAAAAAAATATTTTAGATTATATGTTTTTGACTTCTTTAGCAGGCACTAAGAAAGAAGTATTGAGCGAATTCGCTTGTCTCGGGACATAAAATAACTCAAGTTGCAAACAAAAAGTTTAAGGACTGCAAAATGTCGCTCTGGAAATGACAGGATTGAACGGTTTTTACGTTCTTGGAAGGTCGGGGGACATCCTCAAATGGCACATTTTGGGGTGCTGAATCTTTGAACGGCGTTCAGTTAAGATTTGCTTGTTCAGTAATTTCTGGTGGCCTCAGGTGCATGCCACATTTGTGTGCGCATGGTGAGCTGACTCTCTATGCATAAATTTGACTAGTACTTTTATAGTGTACTGTATATCAAAAACTCTAATAAGAGTGACTCACCCTAATAGAAGTGACTCTTGTACATTGTAGTGTAATATATGTTGTTATGTATTTCCTTAACACAAGTGCACTTTAGAAGAAATGCACATGATCTCTGCCTTGCCGTGCTAACCTTTGGACGGCTCTCTTAGGGGTTTGAACTATATTTGAAGGGATGCCAAGTTGCTGATGGTGGCTCATGCTTTGGGCAGTTTCTTGAAAGAACCTTTTTTTTCCCTGTCTGCTTCAGGGGGTGGAAAATGCAAAAGTTGTCACGTTCCGCGGGAGAAGCCCTTCGTAGGAGAGGAGTTTTCGCATTACCTCTCTTGGTTCCTGAAGGACGTACCCGGCGTCAAGTGTTCTTCAGCGTGAGTTTCTGCGTCAGTCAATTGCTTATTGCACGCCTGTTGATGGCAATGTCTGCATCTTGAATCATTCAGACACAAGATAGATCTTCGACGGGTCTCACACGTTAGTTTGAAGAGGGTTTGAATTATCGGGATTGTGCTGAACTTCCATTATAAATTATGGGACCATGAAGATTCTATGAATTATTTATGATTTCAAATTAACTGTTATTGAATTATAGAGGTTTTACTGTATATCACTTTGTTGAGCCATCAGTCGCTTAATGCATGCTTTTGACTATTGTTCTCAGATGGGTTGCTGTAGTCATTGGTGAAGTGAATGAAAATGTAAAGCTTACAGCACTTTCTATTTTTGCTGCATGTATTTTGGCGTTTCATCGAAGTGGCAGTGTGTAACCATAATCAATCTTTTCTTTCTTTTTTATATTTCAGAGGTCGTGCGGAACATGGCGGTTCGATTGATCACGTAAACGGAACTATTAAATGTGAGTGGTCTTAGTACACTCTTAAGATTCGTTACTATAGGTCTACACGCTTACTAACCAAAGTTGTTAGTTGTAGATTTTTTTTTTTTTGGGGGGGGGGGGGGGGGGGTGAGGAGTTATATATGCACTCTAATTTATAGAATGAAGTTTAATTTTTAGGAATAATACAAAAACAATTTGCCTGTTTCGCTACTAATTTCAGGACTCAAATATTTAGGTATGTATTATTTGCTTGAAGTAAAAAAAAAAAAAATATGTATTCTTCTGCAGAGTTGATTTGCACAACCACCAAAGTTGTGCAATCAACTCTGGGTTGTGTGGGCTCAACAGGATTTTGATAAAACACGCCTGTGGTGGAAACATCCGGTATAATTTTCTGTTCAGATTATGAGCCCTTCTTTTATCTTCAGTGCCATTTTTAAGGCTGCCAATCTCCCCATAACCTTCATTTGTTTTTTTTCTCTCTCTCTGTATTGAATATCCACGAATAAAATTAAAGCTCACAGTAGACAGCACAGCATCACATTTTTCAGAGAAGTTTTTCCAATGTCATGTCTCTGACATATGAATTTTTGCAAGTTTGTCACAACCTTGCAACGAGACAGCCTTCTTTCCATGCGCCATCGCACAATCGTAGAACTTCAGGCGAACCTAGCAACGAAGCAAAGTTGAAACCTTCTCAAATCTTTAAACAACCGGGAATCATGGAAACTTTGTTCTTTGTCATTCGGGGAGATAGGCATTGTTCGTTGAACAATTTCCCGAATGTCCGTTCCAGCTGCCTACTTTTCGGCCTACCACCCTGTCCTGAAGACGTCTAAGGACTTCTACATGGCACTCGACTGGGCTCGACTCATCTCCCACAACCTGACCCAAGACATACAGGCCATTCAGCCCGGAGTGCAAGTCATCCCTTACAGGTGGGGTGTCCCTCAGTCCCCTAAGAGCTACTCGAGTCTAAGTCGGGCACTGATGTAATCTCATGAGAAAGCAAAGAACTGTGTAGATTTCTACTGCCACCTTCTGTTTCACAGTCCCTTTAAGCCATTGTGGCATCATAATAATGTAGTGTGGAAGCAAAAGACCGTCTAGTTTCCATCTGCCAATTTATGTTTCATGATGTCTCTAACTTGGAGAAACATCATAGTGGCGTGATCTCGGGAGGAACAGAAAGATCATATAGCTTTTTATGCAAGGCGCAAGTTCGTCTGCTTCTTTTGTAGGGGTTGTGGCGACGCCAGAATGCTGTGCTCCGATTGGCTCTGATTGAAGGATAGGGCATAAACCTCAAAGGAAGCTGCTTTGAGGTCTACCCACTATGCTTCAATCGGAGTCAATCGGAGCACGGCATTCTGGTGTCATCACAACCCCTGCTAAAGAAGCAGACCAACTTGCGCTCTGCATCGCCAGCTTGCAGGGTCAGTCCAGCTGCACCATTTTCCCCATTTCAACTATTTTTCCCAAGGAGAAACATTGCACGAAACTGCGTCCAAGCGTTTGTATATGGACAAACTTGTTTTTGGAAGAGTGTTTGATTTTTATTAGGCAACTGGGGGATTCCGACGGGGTTTAGCCACCACAATCCAACCCAATTCAGGTTTCGGCTCCGCGACCTTGTTTTATGCCAATTTTACTTTAGCTCACCTCACAACACTAGTGCTGTGCAGTTTAGTCAGTTTTAGTGGTATTTCAGAGCACACTAATGAACAAGTGCAAATACTTCTCTTCTACTGCTTACGCATGTTAACAGGCGTGAAACAGTTTTGTAGAAATGTGCTCGCACATGGTTCCCATTTCCTCAGCATGCTCGGTCGGGATTGCTTTGTTAGAAATTCTTGCCTTGTTTTTTTATGTAAAATTATGGGAATAATTTATTGTCCTTGTTAAAATGTCTGTGCATTAGAATGTTCATATTGAGTAAGCTTTTGTGTACTAAATGGGGTTCTCAAGCAGCTAGATCACGATCACAACAGAGGAAAAGCAAATCTGACGTTGCATGTTTACACTGTAGAGGTTGTCGGGAAGTGCCATCATGAATGGAATGTTTGTCACCAAGCATGTTGTCTTTAGAAGTTATGATGTCTAGAAAATTTTAATTTTAGCATCACAGGAAAAAATCGTTGTATAGTGCCAATTTGCTTCTTTTTATTGTATAGAGGGCTAGATTGATACCCTGCATCGGCTTCCCCATGGTGATAGTTAGCGCGCTTACTATATCATTCTTGCTAACCTGAGCCCACTAGTACTAATAAAAACAAAACATAAATTTGACAAAGTTTGTGGCACTCTTTCGCAGATGTAGAAGGACAATTTGGGTAGTACAGTACAACTGCTAGCGTGGAGTTCTTAGTGGGCATCACGCAGTAGTGGTAACATGAATGCATGTCGGTACTAGAAATGGAGGAACTGCTCCAAACTGCTTCGAACTTGTGTATGTGTTGCTCGGAATCGCTCCAAGCTTAAGCATGTGCTGCTCCTCAGCTGCTCTAAAGTGTAAATTTTTCTGATACAAGGGTGCTCCAATAAAACGGGATTTTGTTCTGCTTTAAAAATTGCTCCAAACTCCAAACTGCCTGGACCATCCCTGCAGCTTCTGTTGCAAGGTTCTCTTATCACCAAGGCATCACTTTGACATAATCTCCCGAGGAAACAAATAGCTGTCTGCTTTTGCACCTCCGGCTTGAATTTCACGGTCCGTTTGGCGAAGAGCTCCCGAACAGTTTGATTGGGAGGATGTGAAAGGCGTCCCCCCTCCCCCCTTAAATGAAAGAGTTTTGGAGCCCAGTTTCGCGGTGCCCGCACTTCGAAGAACAAAACGAGCAACCCTGACATCGGCTCCGGTTTGCAGCCTGGTGCACGTGTTCTACGAGCAGTACCTCACCATGTGGCCGGACACGTTCAAGAACCTGGCCCTGTCGCTGGGTGCCATATTTGTGGTCACCTTTGTGCTGCTGGGGCTGGACTTTGTGTCTGCGACGGTGGTCACCTTCACTATCGTCATGATCATCGTCAACCTGATGGGCCTGATGTACTGGTGGGACATCTCGCTCAACGCGGTGTCCCTCGTCAACCTCGTGGTGGTGAGTAGTTGTGCCTGCCACCCCTCTTGTCGTCGTCCGCTCGTCGTCAGGCTCGAACGTTCCTGGAATTTGAAGGAGCGTGTTGGTTGTAATTTGTAGCCTGGGCACTGAGTGGTGTGTTTATTTCATGATGAGTATTTCATTTAGTTTGTTTATTTGTTCTATTATTACAAAAACAATACATATGACAATGCGTACAGTGATCAGAGTACATAGGCAATGGCTAGTGACAAATCTTTTTGGAAGAATACAATGTAAGCCAACTAACCGGAGCATGCATAAGTTGACATAACTGTCAACTGTGATATTTTATTAATACAGGATATCATAAGCAATCATTATTCAAATGCAAGCTGCATAAAAATATGTATTGTTTATTTGCCAACGAACATACTAGACCATAGGACATCATAAGCATCAATCATAAAACAGAACTAATTTTTGTTAGGAAGAAAGTTTCTTGGAAGCAGCATTAACTATACCCCTAATATCTTTAAAGGCTGCTAAATGGAAGATACTCTTCCATTAAAGGGGCAGAGCATGCTCAAAAAACATTGATGGAGTGTACCAGCCAATCTCACCTCGACTTTTTTCTCGCGCCTTTCCGCAGCATGCGGAGGCGCAGATTAGAGGAAGAAAAAAGTCTCGAATCGGTGTTCTCCTCTGCTCTGTCCAGCCGATGAGAGGCTGACAAAGTGGGTCCCATTTTGACGTCATTGACCTCAAAATGAGAGCCGCTCCTGAGCAAGCATGTGTGAGTGGACGAAATTGCAACTTAGATATTGCATTAATACGAAAGAATGTAACAAGAGGAATTGCATCTCAGGACACAAGCGTCTTCCACGTCTTCTCTTGTAAGAATAGAGAGTTTCAGTGGCAAGCGTCAGGAAGTGTGGAATTTACCTTTGAACTGCGTACCGTAAAATGAAGAGTAAGCCCCCATGTCGCAATAAGCTCCCTCCAACTACTTTTGAAGCATTTGAAAGGAGATAGGCAATGGTCATATGAAGCACCCACCCCAGCAAACTCCTCGGCCCGTTGAGCTAACAGCGATGCTCTTCCGCATCGGCCACCTGTCTGAGAAGCTGGTGCAAAGCAATGAAGCTTTAGCGCGTTCTCAGGTGCGAAGCTTGACACATGAGCGTCGGTCCCGAGTAGGCTTGATGAGAGCCTTAAAAATTGGGGATTCTGTCAGATATATATATATATGGTATACCACTCCATGGTATACCGCCTCCTCTACCATGTCCTCTCCCTACTTTTCTACCGTCGGACCTAACGAGCACCCGTCCTTGCTTTTTCGGGATTATCTTCAATTTTTTGAGCGGGTGGTTACTTGGTATTTTACGGTAGATGCGTCAACTTCACATTCCCATAGAAAATGTTAAGAGAATTTGTTACTCATGAGAAAATTTCAGGGTCTATAGGGAAACTTGCAGCGCTTCAGTGTAGTCATGAGCGGTCTGGACTCGTGTTTGAGTGGTCACAACCTGTCGCTTTCAGGGCGTGGGGATCTCGGTGGAGTTCTGCTCCCACCTGGTGCGAGTGTTTGCTCTCAGCGGTGCCCCGTCCAGAGTCAAAAGGGCCCAGGACGCACTCACCAAGATGGGCAGTTCGGTGAGTGTTCCATCGAGATTTCGACACCGACTCAGCCCACTTCGTTTTTGCAATAAATCGTAAGATATCAGACACGTGGCTGTGTTAGTAGGTATGGTCAATGTGCGATTCAGTGCATGGGTTCTCAAGCTGGATTTGTAGGAGCCCAGGAATTCCCAGAGCTTGCGAGCTTCCTTGACTGTCTTGGCCCCCGTGTGAAGCACTTTTCATGTATGAGCACATTTTTAGAAGGCTTGAGCCACCACTGATGCATAACTATGTGCCAGTCGCTCCCTAGCATGTGAATTGTTGTTTAGAGGGCCTGTAGGCTTCTGCACTGCTTTATTCCACGAATGCTAGAGACTAGAAAATGGTTTCTCGGCCGTCAATCGAGAGAGGGATAGGGGATCCTTGAGATTGAGAAGTTTGAGAGCCCTCGATCTAGTACTAAGTAGCACCAATCCAGACTATATTTTGTTGCAGGCGAAGCATGGCTTTAACACCTATAAAATTACTCTTTGGTTTGTTTTGCCATTGTGCTCCAATGCTTGAGTGTCTTTCAGTTGTGTCTAAACTGTGTGAACGACACGTTTTCTCTCCCCCTAGATCCTGTCCGGAATCACGCTGACGGATTGTGGCATCCTGGTGCTAGCCTTTGCCAAGTCGCAGATATTCCAGGTTTTCTATTTCCGCATGTACCTGGGCATCATTGCCTTTGGCACGCTGCACAGCCTCATCTTCCTCCCGGTGTTTCTAAGCATCCTGGGTGAGTGTTCCCCTGCCCGAATTCTGCGGGACCAGTCGGTGTGCGGATCTCACACATTGGTCCATCGCTGTGCAGGTCCCGCACATTGAGTTGCCAAAGACTGCTTAAAGCGCGGAATTTAAGGAACTGCGTTGAGACCCATGCGATGCCCCACTTTGGCAACCCCGACTCCATTTTATGCTGCCCTCGATTGAAGCACACCACTTCCCTACCTCTTAAAAGTTTGAGATGAAAGAAGCGAAGTTGCATTACATAGGACAACATAGAACAATGGACGGACAAAATTACAGTTGCCGACCAATTTTTTGGACTCCGATAATTTGGACTTGTTTGATATTTCAGACCTAAAGGAGGGACCGTGACCCACCCAATACAAATAGTGCATATTCACAACCAATGTTTCGAACAGCTTGAAGTCCGAATGTTCAATTTTTCAAAAAAAATTGTCGCGAGCGATCAGCGAAAAAAAAATACACCGAGAAACGACGATATTGAATTCTATGTTGGCTGCACATGGATTAGCTTGGTTCGGCAGTACTAGTACTTGAGTACTGCTAATCCCTACCGCTGGGCGATGCTGCACGGCTTTTTTTTTTTCTCTAGCTACACGTCATTATCATCATCATCATTGTTGTTACCATTTTGCTTTGTTCATTTGCCATTGCAGTCGTGGACTTGCGCCTCTCATCTCTATCTTGTCTCGGCGAATCGTGTTTTTGGTCTGTGCTGGCTTGGGCGTCATTGCCCCATCTGTTCTTCCGCTGTCGCGATGCGTCGCTGAGAAGTGCAGAAAGTACTCGACCATGACGCCAGAAAAGAAGGCAGTGATTCTCAAGCTAATAGAAAGTTGCCGAATGCTAGCGGAAGCGGAACCTGAAACAAGGCGTGCAGGCTCAATCTGAAGCAAGGCGCTATTCACGGCTTTTTTAAGCCTCTTAGACTTAATAAAGGCAAGTTTTTTAATCTGGTGATTTTTCAGACTGCTCTATTATTCGGACGTTTTTTTTGGTCCCTGCAAAGTCCAGAAAATCGGTTGGCGACCGTGTTTGCAAAAGTCTACAAGAGTATAGGGTACAGGCAACTCAATTAATATCTGGGGAAGCATTTGTGAGCCGGCTTTGATTTACGAACTCAAGGGAACACAATTACAAGTGGGCGCTTCTATACTCCATGTTGCCTTTTTTGTTCTACTTTCTCAAAACATTTGCGCGGGTGCGCACAAACGAGACCGAAGACGAAGTCGCATGCTTGTACAGCGTTGCGGGACAGCATCGCTGCTGAAACAAAGCTAGACTTTTCACCGTGGCACAAAAAGTGGACGCCTCCAGAATTCTCTTTAAACCCCACATACATTATAATACACATTCTTTATCAGTAGGTCTTAAAAGTACAATGAGGGGAATTCCCACAAAAAGAGGTCGATTGACAATCGTAGTATTATAGTTGTGCTGCCATTTCGACACAGGTCAACAGGGTATGCTTGTTATCAGAGGCTTTACCTTTAATGGCAATGGCACTGAGTTCAACGTTCTATTCGCTTGATCCGAGTAAGCGTTGCGATTATCAATTTATTTTGTTGAGTTTCTTTATAATTTTGGCTTCAAACCAATTTGTAAGAAGTCAGAGGATTATTAGGCAGCTAGCTACTTTCTGGGTGCTCATTCAGTTTTTTCCTACAAACTGTTTTTACGATAATGTGCAATAAAATGTAAGTCCTTGTATAAAAAAAAAATTGTGCTGACAGCTCGTGACTTTTTTTTTTTTTTTTTGCTGGCTTTTTTTATCACATACTTAACCACAATCACATTTTTTTAAAGTTAACTGTGTAATTTTATTCGGGTCTGAAGAGGATAGAGTAACATCTTTAATGTGGATGGATTCTTTATGTGGTAGTGTGCAATGTAATGCACATCCTTCTATAAAAAAAAAGTATAATGCTTACAGCTGTAACCTTTTTTACTGACTTCTCATTATTGTGTACTCAACAACTTTTCAAAAGTAAACTATGTGCCTTATTATGTCGAGTCTGAAGACGGTATAGCAAGCAACGTCCTTAAAGCAGATGTGTCAAGGTTCCTGTGAATGCCACTGAGCGGCACTCACTTTTGAAAAGGGTTTATGAACCATGAACAGTCACGGTTGCCGCCGCCTCATGCTTTGTATCGCTGCCTGATTTTCACAGGTCCCCCCGTCAACAAGGACAAGTTGATAGAGCACATTCAGCTCCAGGAGATGGCCACAGTCACTACGGCCGTCGTGAGGTCCAAGGCAGACACCTACACTCGAAAGGACGTCAGCGCATAATGAGGTCACAGCTATTTAAATGTGAGTGCCGTCGAATTGGACAGCAGCTTGCGCCACCTGTCCGGTGTTTAACGTCGACCGTGAGGTGCCGCTGTCTGGCAGGAAATGTGTGGACTCCGGAGACTGGGAGCGCGTGCTTGTAGTGTCCGGCGAAAATTACAATGCGTAAAACAGAGGAGTGGGCGTAAAAGAATGTGTGTGTGTCTGGAGTTGCTAATTGAAGGAATTGGCAAAATCTGAAGCTTTTGGGGCAAGATTGTATGTCTCTTGTATAAGTGCAAGCAGGGAGGAATACTGGCTCAGCTTCTATGCCCGTTTCATCCACCAGATGATGGACCATTCTAATGGGCGGTATGGGCTTCCGGAATCCCAAACCCCTTTAACATTGTCAACATAGAAGGTGCCTATGTAGTGAAGTTAAATTAGCAAGAAACATTTTTGCATTGACAGGCAGGATATGAAAAAAGTATGGGAATCAAGAAAATTTGTATTGTTGGTATTTTTTAGTAAAGAGTCATGGGATGTTTTTATGTCTCCTTGTCAAATCCCAATCATTCCTGTAGCCAATAGGAGGCACAGAAATCGTCTTTCTCGAGAATGACTATTCTCAGACATGACCATCTAACCCGCAGGGGTGTAAACATTCACGGCATGAATATTGGAATGTGTCCGAGAAATTCTATTAAACCAGCAAATAAAAAGACTAGTTTTGCCTTTCGTGTCTTTTTAAATTAAGTTGATTTGTTTTCACTTGGCAGATGCTAATGCAGGTATGTAAAAAAATGTGTACTAAAAAAATTTTTTTTCTTTTTCTATTTCAGAAAATGACTGTTTAGTGAGAGGCATGTTGAGGAAGGAGAAGAGGCTTTCACCGCCAAGAGCGTCTTCGTTGCAACAAGGAGCACTGCCCCTTTCGGTTTCAGTTCTGGTTCCTCGCAGGCTCTTTCGTTCTCAAGTTCTTAACATCACCTACCAGTTTCACAAGTGATAATGTCTTCATACGTGGTTTATTGATGCCCACAACTAAGTTTCTGTTGTCTCCTTTAAAAAAAAAAAAAATGTTGAGAGTCTTTGTTTTTTTTTTTACTTTTCCTTTTTTATACACATATATTGCTTTGTACAGATTCATGTGGATTGTAACCAAAGGTGAAAAAAATACTTTCTCCAATCATTCTCTAAATTCTGCAAGCAAATCTGAAGAACCCTTTTGTTTTTTGGGGGGAACATTCCCGAACGACCCTGAATTGGCACGCGCGCCTTACGAGAAGGAACTGTTCATAGCTGACGATTGGGGCCATAGAGAATGACCTTGAGATGAACCTTCAAATTGTACCCTTTTTCTTGTACCCGCGGCCTCTTCTCAAGCGTCAAACGTTCCCGGGTGATCTCTTTAATGCTGTCGCCTGACGCTGATCGAAGGCTGCATTCGTATAATGTGTCTCTTCATTGTTTTGTTTTTTGGGGACGACTTTTTGTTTAGTAAGGCAGGATGGGTGAGCATGGCATTTCAATCAAGTCACCCAGCAACGCGCGGGTGGCCGTCAGTACAACACTTGCAGAGGCCGAGTGGTGAAAGCATTGTCTGCCATCGCAGCGTGCAAGACGGGCGAACAGAAACGAGTTGTACATTCCAGTTGTTCTTAACGGTGATTTGCCTTAATAGCTCACTGGGTAATGTCGCTCCGTGCTACACAAGTGCACTCTTAGTTGCAAAGTGCATTACTGTGTCGGAGATTGACGGGCGGCCATGACATTCGCCGCGAGCAGGCACTCAAAGGCCGCCCATGTTGACACGGGGAGTCTGATGGCGCATCCGTAGTTACGGCGAGTTTGTTAGCTGCGCTGCTATGTGCAGTTTTGCTGCGACGGCCTTAAGATGAGTTAAGCTTGGATGCGATCAAAGCCTTCTTTTTCTTCTTTTTTTTTGAGGCACTTTTCACAGTGTTTAGTGGCATAGGGTATCTAGTCTGTGTGGAATCTGGGACAGTGGCATAGCTAAAACTGGGGTTTCGCGTATTTATTAGCTTTCGGTACACGCATTTCGTTCTGCGTTTTTCTGACAGCGGGAACGATTTGAGCAGAAGTCGGAATGGGCAGCTTAACGCGTGCCGGTTGAGCTAATACTTTTTTTCTTTTTACAGTTTGTTTAAAAAAAATGTTTCTTTTTTATGTTGGTTTACTGGAACTTGAAATTGGTGCCCCCGATGCACGTCCGGGAATGCTCAATTTCTGCGTTTTCATCCAATAGACTGCACGAAGCTGGTGCCTTCTTTGAACGCGTGGATCAACGTGAACACGCTGCTCTTATGGAATCACTGTCTTTGGGAAGGGGGAAAATGAGATTCCATCTTTACACCTTGATGTTGCAGTGTCTCTGTCGCCCTTTATTTTTATTGTCTTCAATACTGTACCAACCTATAAGAAATCTGTTTATTTTTTCTTCTCTCTGCACTGATGCAAGAAACAAAATAAAGGACAAACAAGCATGCCTTTTTTTTTTCATTTTTTATTGGACATTGCTTTTTTTTTTTTTTATTGTGATCGTTCATTTGTGTTATTAAAGGCGTGAGAGCAAGGTTGTCGCCACGCTGTCTCGTTGGAACGGGACACGCGGGCCTGTGTGTTGCGAGGATGTCGTGCGACTCTGTTTCGCGCCCTCCCCCCCCGCTGCTTTTTGGCGGGTGGTGCAGTTTTGCAGGAAGCTGTACAGTTACATTATTGAATAATAAAAGTGTGTTGTCTTGTGGTAACCCTTGGTCGTCTTGAATCCCATCCGAGATGGTGGCAGCAGCCATCGTTTTAACGCGACAGCGTTAAGGAGCTCTTGTCGCAGAAAAGCCGGTGTCGGTGGCGTTGTGACGGGAAAATCCTGATTGGTCGATAGGGTTATGATGTCACAGCTGCATGACCTCGCGCAGGAATATCCAACAACGTTCACGTGGAACGTGATGTCACTTGTGGAATGAAAGTGATTAAAAAAACATGATATATGTGAATTCAAGATTGCTGCATGTGTTGAATGATTTTACTTTATAAAGTAATTCATTCTCCTTAAAGAAATATTTGAAGAATTTTAGACGGAATTTGAGCCAACGACCCTTCGGTTGCAAGCCGAAACGTTACTGACCAGGCCATGGACCGCCGCACTTCCTGCTCACTGGCAGGAAGAGGATGTGAAGCGAATGTGAAGGCGATGCGATTGCGGCCCGGTAACGCTATTGCGTTGGCAAAGCCTAAGTGTCCAAGTTTTGGGGTGAGGATTGTGGGGACAGCAACGGGTCGCTGCAATTTTTTTTTACGGACGTGCCAAAAGGTGCGACGAAGAGATGATGTTGACGACCATGAAGTGGCCGGAATTAGTATCTCACTCTACTATGCATTGTTGTGAGCAGGGATTGCAGCACTTCTGCATCCTGTTTTGAAATAGGGCAACAAAAATGTGACTACATATTGACATATATCTCAAGACCTGTTGCCTTTTTGTAATTTTTTTAAAGGGCCGCTGAAAAGAAAAAGTTATTTTTTTAACCTGTCTGGTTGGGACACGCTTCCACGAATTCTAAACCAGTGGGGGGCATCCCCCCCCCCCCCCCCCCCCCCCACACACACACACACTCAAAGCTGTTCCGACAGACAGATATGAAGCCACCAAAAGTAAGCCGCTTGTCCCGGAAGCATGGGCGTACCAACCGGGGGGGCAACGCTTGCCCCCCAGTTTTCAGAGTTGGGGGGGGGGGGGGGTGGGGGGGGGGGGCAAGGCATGTGTTTTGCCCCCCCCCCCCCCCCTGAAACGGCCGCCACTGGGCAGGGCAAACACTGGCCGGCTACGCCCAAGGAATACCAAGGGCACTGGCCCCCGACCCGCGCGGACATATTTTTAACGCGCAGACGATACATACCTTAGCAACGGCGCTCACGCCGGATTGGCTGGTTCGTGGAGATAGGCGCTGCCGCCGTCAACATAGGCAGCGGATACAATGCGAGTTTCCGAAGCGGCAACATAACTTAGTGGTAAGATGTCTGCCTCAAACGTATCGGACCCGGGTTCTATCCATGGTGGGGACTTATTTCTTTTATTTATTTTCCTCGAACATTTTGTTTTGTCGAGGCATTTGGCGATATTTACGACATTTCTTTTTTTTTTTTTTTTTTTTTTTTTACGATTAACACTGAAAAAAAAAAAATGTTGTTGACGAAACATCGCTGAACTAAATCGTATGGGACTCTACGGAAGTGCATGGGGGACATCGGTGCTTAGGTTGCCGACTGGACGCCGCAAAGCGGCGTGTACAGGGGGGGGGGGGAGCGGCGGCTAAGCGGCTTAATAGTTCTGTAATTAGCAGCCGCACACTGTCGCCGCGAAGAAAACGCACGCGCGGGCGTGGGTTAGCGTGCTTCGAGTGATACACGCGCCGTCCGAATTCGAAATTTAAATTCCCTCTCGTTGGCGAGCACCCGATCCGGCGTGAGCGTCGTTGCTAGGGGGTCTATCGCCTGCGCCGTAAAAGGAGCCAGTGACCAAAGCGCCCGCATACACCAACTGGCCCTCTCCTCCCCACCCCCTCTTTTAGAACACCTACACACACACACACACACACCGTAAAAGTTAGTGATGGACCGAATCGGCCGAACTTCAGATTCGGCAAAGTTCCGCACATGCCGAAATTTTGAAAGATTTTGAAAAAATTTGGCAAATGTCTGCGCACGACTTTGTCTGGTCCTCGTCTTTTCGCCCTGTTTTTAATTCCGAAGTATGTACCAACTCGCCCAAGCCTCAACTTTAGCGTCTGCGCACGCGCACGAAAGCGACGGGGCCATGGATCGCAAATGGACGCCGCGCAGTCGCGCGGTTACCATCGTACAGTTTAGTACAACCAGCGGTTACGGTGAGGTGTAGAGTCGACACTGTAACTGTGCGTTTGTGAGCTTTTGCGAGTGTGGTTCTCTTCGCTATTTTCTGCCTCAAGAACAGAAGATCGACCAGTAATTTACGCAGTCCAATGCGCAAGTGGCAAATGATGCGGTGCATTCTGGATAAGGCGATTTTCGTTTGACCTTTCCATTGATGCAACGAGGTAGTTGAAACATTGACTGACCCCACTGCCGTAAAACGGGGCAGAGGCATGAGAGCTTGCCAGAATGTATGGGATGCAGCTGGCATCCTCGTCATAATGTGATACATGTTTTCTCCCTTCTTTTTGTTTTCCTTTTTACGTAGTTTCTGTAGTGTGTATATTCTGCACTTTTATATGTGTTTCGTTTCTTTCATATGTGATGGCGGGCTAGCAGCAGACGTGTACAAGCTACTCAAAAAAAGTAATTAAGTTAAGTTACTGAGTATTAAGGGGTATTCACACGAGGAAGAAATCCCGGGAATTTCTCCCGGGCACGCGCGCATCACGAGATGAAAACGCGAGGCTTTTGCACATCGCAAAGCCTGACGTTTTCGTCGCGGGATGCGCGTGCCGGGAGAAATCCCCGGGATTTCTCCTTCGTGTGAATATCCCTTTAGCCTCAAAAGTAATTTTAGTAGAGTAGAAATTACTAAAATGGAAAGTAATTCAGTCAATTACTAATTACCGTAGTAACGGAGCAAATTACTTTCGAATTTGCTTTTATTTCTTTCTGTGCTAACAAGGAAGTATACTTAAATAGGTTTTGATGCGTTAGCGAAATTCTGCTAGCCGAATATAGAGCGGCTTGTGTTCTCACAAACACTTTAATAGCTGGTTCTGCTTCTGCATGCCTAATTGTTGTGTACCTTTTAGTGAAGGATGTACTCCGGATGTATCATTGCACCTTTAAGGTTTAGCACTGCCTGAGCTTGATCTTGCAGACAGTGTTTGATTGCTCACAGTGTTGCGTAAAGTACGTCTAAAAACTACTTGGAAGTACAAAGTTAATGAGAGATTATGTACTTCAAGCAAAGTAGTAAGTACAACGGGTGCAATGTACTTGAAGTGAAGTACTATAAATACAATGTACTTCCAAAATAAACAGCGGTTTTTTTTTTTTTTTTTTTTGGCAGGCCGGTATGCATAGCTTCAGGGGAAATTGGAGGTGCATCAGTTTTTTTCGGAATGGGCGGCAAAATCGGAAGTGCATCAGTTTTTCTTTTTTCTTTTTTATTGCGGCAACTAATACGCCATCGAGTGATTGCTTTATTCTCGCTGACGAACCATTTAACACATTCAACTTGAAAGGCACTTATTTGTATCGGTCTTATAGCCGCCATTTCTTTACTCGGAGAAATTACCAGATGACGTCTCTAAAGACAGCACAAGCCTCTTTTGACTGAGGATGTCGATTGTATACGTCCTGTAGTGGGCGAGAATTCCTACATTGGGGAGATGCGGGGACAAGCCCTTTCTTCAAATGCGTCAGTCTCCTTGAGCTTGGGGATACAAAGAAACGCCAGTCTTCGGCGTTTCTTCTCCCCGCGCCTCATAGCAGTATTGTTGCAATGGGGGGATGGTTAAAATTTTAGGGGTTTTGGACTATCCGAACTGCTCTCTTCCTCCCCCCCCCGCCTTTCTACGCCACATGCTTCCCCCTCTGCAAATATCAGCTGATCTTCTAACATCATCTCTCTGTTGATAGGGAAAACAATCACTAAAATTCGAAAGTAATTTGTAATTTGGGTGGAAGTCACTCGGAAAAGTAGTTAAAGTAAACTACTAATTACCAAAATAGAAATGTAATTGAAAGTTACTAAACTACCCAGAAAAGTAGTTAAAGGGCAACTCCGGTCCATACTTTCGATTTTGGGATTATGACTGTTTTTAGTGCAGTCCGCGTCTCTGAATTGCAAGGTGTAATTTTTTTCTCCTTATTGTGCGTAGTTTTAAAGATATCGACGTTTCAAAGTTTTGCTTGGGTCGCGACCAACAAAACCGAAACTAGCCGCTCGAGGCTCCGGCAACACTGGGAATCGGCTGCTATGTGAACGTGACGTCAAGATCGTTCTCGATCAACGAGTACGCTAGCCGTCTAAAGATGGGAGGTAAGCTGATTTTGTTTTAATTCTGTATACGTGGTAGTTATCCAGCCCATGTAGCAAGAGTTAGTGCGTATACCCAAAAAGCTAGCGACTGAAAAACCCGTGAACTCGTGCGGTGCCATGCTCGGCGGCCGCCGCCGTGCGTGCGTTATGCGCCGTACTCGTCACTTGTATACCCAAAAGCTAGCGACTGGAAAACGAGTGAACTCGTTCGCTGCCGTACTCGGCGGCTGTCGCCGTGTGTGCGGTCTTTCGTACTCGTCGCTAGGCCTAAATTGTTATCGGGGCTCCGTGGATGGAGCGGCGTTGCTCTACGCCGCGCTACCAGTGACGTACAGTACTGGGGGCCCTCTCGCTTTCGCGCTGCTGGTCAGTTCCAGACACGAAGCTTCAAGGCTCTCCGCCGCGGGCCGCGGCGCCCGAACACACGTGTGCTGGACTGTACACGTCTGTTTTTTCGTTTTTTTTCCTCGCGCGCGTAAAAGCCGAAGTCCAAAGTCCACTCGTCGAACAGCGTTCACCCACACCTTCTCCAATTTCCGGTCCGTTGGAAACTTGTGAAAAAGCACCTCCGTGTTGCGCAGCGGGTTGTTTGAGCAGCCCACAGCGCTACAAGTTGCACTCGGCTTCTTTCGAGGAACAGCTGGGCAGTCTTGGGCGCACCGAGTTGCTCGCTAAAACGAGTCTTGGGGTCCTCACAAGCAAATAAACAAAAGGCTATACCGAAGCTACAAAGCAATGACTAAACAC